TGAACATTTTCAGTTCTTTTTGCGCGTCCTCATGATTTAAAAATTGATTGATTGATTGATTTATTTATTGATTGATTGATTGATTGATTGATTGATTGATTGATTGATTGATTGATTGATTGATTGATTGATTGATTGATTGATTGATTGATTGATTGATTGATTGATTGATTGATTGACATATGGCCCCTAAGGCAGATAACCTTACCTGTCTTTCCATGTTTCTCAGGGTATTCCGTAGGTTATGTGCGTACATACAATTCAGCTCAAACAATGTCAGTTGTTACTGCTAGCAGTTACAACGGCGTTGTTGAAAGGGCGAAAGAAAAAAAGGTGTAACGTTCAGTGATGGTAGTTTTGCCACAGCAGACGCGTGAAATCGATTTTCGCGCAGATCCCGACACTCATCAGCGAGGCGTGCTCACTCTTGCCTAACTTACTTTGGGCTTTATTTGCTTCTTCATGCGTTTTCTGAATCTCTCTATCATTTCATAGCCTCCAGAAGGGTATAGCTGTCTGATAATTACCCGCATATGAGAACGCATACGGGCCTATCTACGTCAGCACCAGCTGTGCTGGTACACAGTAACAGAAAGAAATTTATCGACGTACTCATTTTTCGATGTACGTATACATACACATACATTACACGAACAACCACATGTCTAACATGGCAGTTTAGCTGCTGTTCTGTTGAGCTGCCAAGCCGAAATACGCAGATTCAATATCCGGTCAACGAAGCTGCACTTATACATATATGGTGATATGCTAGAACATTGGTGTACTTTGATTCTGCTACGCCAGGTGGTGAGAGTTATTCCATGTGCCCGATATGGCCTCATCTATAATCACACCGCAATTTCGAGCGTGTAAGGACATATGGATCGTTAACAAAAACACGTCACAAGTTTACAAAGGTTCATAAAAGAAAAAAACAAGAAAACGCAAACAAAACTGGGTGAACAAAGCCACCAAGAGCGGCCAATAGGCATGTCCGTGCTGAAGTTCATACATATAAGGTAGTGTTATTTTTGTTGAAGGTTCTAGCGATAGGCTGAAAGTACGGAGTACATCGGTGAAGGCCTACTAAAGTATCTCCTATACAGCGGAATCTCGTCGACATGGTTCTGCGTAAGTTTTTTATAAGTTTTTTTTCTTCCATGTTTTATAATGCATTTTCATGGCGGTCTGCGCGGTGGCGTTTTCACGTGAAATTGGAAAATACGACTGTGGAAGTTAGTTTTTGAACGCATTTCTAAAACTCACAGGTTTATATTGCGGGGAAGCAGGCCAGTGAAGCGAGAAAAAAGGACGTCTTCCAATTTTTATTATTATTTCCAGTACTTTTTTTTACGAACATTGAAAAGAAAGTCACGAAACTGCAGAGCTAGCTATATAAAGTGGTTGCTCGGGCATTTCGGTAAGACATATTGGAGGGAAACAGTGCGAAAGACGAAAGACCGGGCAATGAAGTGGACTTTATTGAAATACCGCGAAGGAACCTATTTCAACGTTGCTAAACACAAATGTTCATTGGCTGCAGCTCATGCGGCATCGTGTGATGCTTCTCCGCGTTATGCGTTATGTGGGACAGTGTCACTGTGCGCCACACATAACACGCAGGAGCAGAACAAATTATAAGCTTCTCCGCATGATGTATTTTGGCAAACTTACGTTCCACGCAGCGGGGGCATTGTGCATCTCCGCATAGCGTGATGAGCGGAACAGTAGTACTGCCACTCCGTACGTCACCCGCATCTTTGCTACTGAGTCGGGCATCGATTACGCCCATTTTTCACACTTTCTGGTTGCTTGCTTTGGAAAATGTACGTCGACTTGGTAGTCACGTGAGTGCTGCGTTTGCATAAAGTGTATAAACCTGACCTGATATTCCAAGGTCGGCCTATTAAGTGAACACATATAGAACGTGGCGCGTACTATATATAACCTTTATCAGATTTTCACTCTGTAGCGACTAGCCATATTGTCACGCGGCTCTGACGGTGAATAATGCTCCTGTAAGAGTGGTGAATACGGAACTCTTAACTTGTGCCCTTGGATTGAAAATTCAAATTATTATTGGCCTCTCATTAAACCCCTAATAGCAGCAGGCATTACAAAGGGTATAGTGCGTAACGTCCAGTCATCACCATTGACACGTGCGCAGCAACTCGGGTTTGGCATGCCCACAGTGGTGACTGGACGGCGCCCACTCTACCATTGCTAATGCTTGTCGATGTTCGGGTTTCGTTTGACCATTTGACACCAATAGGAGAAGCTGTACACGGTGTGCGTCGTATACATGCTTATTATAGCAGCAATCACAGCCTGCCGCCGTCGGTAATCTGATCGTCGGTGGAACGCGTCGGCTTGCCTCCCATGAGTGACAGAAAATTTTAGCGTTATCACTGGCGCTCGCGTTAGCAGTATACAGTGGTAAGGTTTAACCTTGCTGTCCCGACGTGGGAGTCGCTTGCGTCAGCCTAAGAGTTGGTCTTCGGAACCTGATTAAAGTTCGTCATACCTTACCATGCTAGGCGCGCGCGGCAACATGAACGTATACTGAATGTTCACAGCGCATTACGAAAGGCTCGATTGTCACGTCTTAAATAATGAAAAGGTGACACTTTGTGTACAAACAACGAACATTCGAATGTTCTGTTGGCTTATCTATTAATGAGCGCGTGAGTAGTAGTGAGTAGTTGATTGATTGATTTGTGGGGTTTAACGTCCCAAAACCACCATTTGATTATGAGAGACGCCGTAGTGGAGGGCTCCGGAAATTTTGACCACCTGGGGTTCTTCAACGTGCACCCAAATCTGAGTACACGGGCCTACAACATTTCCGCCTCCATCGGAAATGCAGCCGCCGCAGCCGGGAATCGAACCCGCGACCTGCGGGTCAGCAGCCGAGTACCTTAGCCACTAGACCACCGCGGCGGGGCGTAGTGAGTAGTTATTGAAAATTCTAGTAACTCTTTTTTTATTTTTTTTTTGTTCGCCTGTCATGTCAACGAGCAATGCGGGCCTCGGCATGCTGGTATGACGCATGCGATGCTTCAGTGCATATATACATAAAATAAAGCTAATGGAAAGACGCCAGAACGTTGTAATGGATTCACGAATGCAGACACAGTTGCCCCGCCGCGGTGGTGTTTAGCTAAGGTACTCGGCTGCTGACCCGCAGGTCGCAGGATCGAATCCCGACTGCGGCGGCTGCATTTTTGATGGGAGCGAAAATGCCGTAGATCCGTGTGCTCAGACTTGGGTGCACGTTAAAGAACTCCAGGTGGTCGAAATGTCCCGAGCCCTCCACTACGTTTCTCATAATCATATGGTGGTTTTGAGACGTCAAATTCCACATATCAATGAATTATAGGCACAGTTCAGAGTACTGTGCAGAAAACACATGCATTTAGGATGAAAGAAAAAGAAATGATCCAGAGAAAAAAAAATTAAAATGCAGATTGGTTTACTTAAGCTGCATTCTGTTTAGATCCGATATGCTAGAGACAATATATATCACACAACAGACAAAACATAAAAGAAGTAGACGACACATATGAGCAGTGCGCGTTCTTTTATCGCTATTTTAATCGCTATTTTAATCTTCTACGCATCGCTTCAGTTGCGGCATTTACAGTCACTATTTTACATACATCCAGCGTTTGACACTATGGGCACGTTTGAACCGGCATCTTCTGCCGTTTCAGTGAACAGCCGAACGCTTTGGAGGCAACGCGTTTGCGTCAAACGCGGATATAACGTCATCCGATTTCGTCAAAACAGACACATCTCAATATATCCGTTGTGCGTTGGTATATACGAAAAGCGCATTGCTTCAACAAAAGGTGAAAAAAAAAAAAAAGTCGACGAGTGAACGCATATACGCAGCATACCAGTTGTTGATGCGAACACTTTGTAAAGCAAAATATCGCCGGCAGGTCAGGGACATGTGTCACGGCGCACCCGTATTTTCCACAGCGTTATCAGCGGAAGTCGCGACACATGCCTAGTTGGTCCATTTTCTCCCCCATATATCACCTCCAAACTTCTTCCTGAAAGGGACGGCTTACTGCTCTCCCATAGTTGAGTACGAAGTACTCAAAGCCGTTGAACATGTTTTCTAAACCCTTTTAGCGGGACGACTCAGTGTTCTCCCATAGTTGAGTACGAAGTACTCGAAATCGTTAAAATTTTATCTAAACATATCATCTGAGTGTGCCAAAAAGCCGGACAGAAAGAAATAGAAGAACATATACGCACTCAATGTAAACAAACGTGAATGCAGCATTTATCTGTTGTACTATGGGACTTAACGCATCAAGTCGGATCAATTCACAAGAGTTTTCGCGCCTCCATGGCCTAAAGCCCGCGGCTTTGCGACGGGTCGCGTATACTGTGACTCGCTTGGCGCGCATTACAAACGATACGTGAGCCATCTTAAGTACGTCAACAGCTCCGTTGGTAATTATTTTGGGCACCTAACATGCAAACTCACACCAAGCAGTCAACTACTATCTGTACACATCGAGTGCAACTTCTCGATTCGGAGTCACCCAACAGGACTACCGATGATCGAAGGTATATATCGACAGTATCGCGACAGTACAGCCTAAGGGTTCTTAACTGGTGCGTGAACATTGTGGCAGATCAGCACAAACTGGACAAAGAGCAAACACGACACAGCGTCGTTGACTATCAACAGTACGAGATCTGTACGTCAAGTGCCCGAATCAGCGCTGTGATAGTCAGCACTGTGTCACGATTGCTGTTCGTCCCGTTTTCAGCGTTGCTATGCCACAAGACACAGCCTACATCACCGCGCCCTATCCGCGTGGCCCGCATTCGACGCGCGAAGCTTCCTTCACGAGCACGAAGCGCACGCGTTGCGTGGTTCGAAAGGCGTTGCGGTATAACTGCATCGGCGCCCATATGTGTCGGTTTCCTAGCGCGGCAGCGCGGCAGCGCGGCAGCATATGTTAGCCACGATCACTTACGCTTGCGTCCAAAGCCTCGCACGGCGACCGCAGTGTCGTTCGGGAGCCTTCGGCGAAACCATATCAGCGCGCCGCGGGTCGCGCCACCCGAGATCCGTCGACGCTGCCGAGGCAGGCGGTGGAAGCAACACAAGCAGCAGCCATCGCCGCTGCCGAATTGCGGGACTCCGCGTGCAACACCCGGCGGAAGTTCTTCGACCGGCGCGCGCCGGCAACTGTTGCGAGCGCCAGAGCCAGCGCAGCAGCGACACGCACACACGCACGCACTCAAGGCTACGACCGCGAGAAGGCGGTGGTGGCGGCGTATACCTCTTCGCTCTTTTCTCTTTCCTGACATTTTTTTTCCCTTTCTCCGCCAGTACGCAACGCTATAGCTGTGCGCAAGAGAAAGCGCGTGGCGTGTTCTTATTGATTTCGCCCTGTGTTTTACGGCGTCTTATATTCGAGAGTTTGAGCGTACCGCGCAACGCCGGAAGCAGCGAGAGAATCTTATCCCGAAGAGAAGTCGCTGAACTGGCGTCGTCAGCGACATTGGCGACATCTCCTGGCGCTGCGTTCAGTCACGAAAGCACGCCGGCGTCGGATACTTATTGCGGGGCTCGGCTGGGCGTTTCACTGTATTAAAGGGCTGGCGTATGTAGACGTCGTGTAAGATGCAGTGGAAAGTTGTGGATCTAATGTACAATCTCTTCATCAAGTTGCGAAACGCAAGCAAACAAGCGAAACGTTTGTAACTCCTCGCGGTTCATACTTCATCGCAAAGGTACGAGGCGTCCGTAGTATTCGTACACGAAACAAATGCAACGTTTTTTTTTTTTTTTTTAGAAAAGTGTATCTGTTTCGTTCTCCTTGTTTCTGAAGCGCGCTTGGTAGATGGTTACAAAGTTGTAGTGCACCAGAGCCGAGATCGTGCGAACCTCTATCTCACTTGCAAAGACCACTAGGCTTGGCATGCGGGAACGAAATGCCCGAGACGACGACAAAGGCAATACAGGGGTGTCTAGATACAGATTCTCCAGGACCAAATAAAGTTTATTTCACCTTCACACATAATGATCGCGCATACACAAGCCACCTTGAGTGTGCGTGTGTGCATGTGGCGGGAGAGATATTGCATTGTCTTTCTACGCACCTTCACGCCTTTCTCTCAGATCTGTATCGCCAATCCAATAACCAGTGATTTGCGCTGCCGTTATCTTGAAAGAAACAAAATGTTCAGCCGATCAAAAGGCGGCAAACAAACGTTCAGAAAGAGAGATGTTTGCGCAGTTTTGGCCCAGTACGTCCACCTCATTGATGGTGCTATGCCTATCATGTTCTGTGCTGAATGTCATGCGGGATCAGTCTGAAGGAAATATCCAAGCACCGAGAATAAGAGTTCTTCCAATTCGGTATCACGTGTTTGCGCATTTCCTCGGTCTACATGCTTTTTCTATTGTATAAAGAGAGAGAGAAGGAAGGAACGAAATGTAGGGAGGGTAATTGGATGCACGTCTGGTTTGCTACCCTGCACTGTGGGTAGAGATAAATGGGTGAAAAAAAAAGCGCCGGAAGGGAGGACAGATATGGGCATAATCACGGGCACGCTTGGGTTAGCACATCGAGTCTACAGTCGTTGGAGATTCACCACAAAGGAAAGGCGTATGGGGGTGAACCAGGAGCCGCATTCTCGGACAATCACTTCGTGTGAAACTTTCACTCAATCAAGGCAGCGTAGAACACCAGTGATGATCTGTATACTTGTCCGTTCGCTCTACGGCAACAAGCTGACGCACATCTATCATCTGAAACGAATAACTTTAAAACACCACAAAGCCTGCCTTTTATTGTCTTTTCAAATGCTGAAACACTGTGACATGATGCGCTCAAGACTGCAAAGATGGCTTCGCCGCATGCAACGTAGCATCGCAAAGAAACCCAACCTAAGTTAGGGAGAAAGCGTACGCTTGGACGAGTTTGAACGTCGTTGAAATTGATAAAGAGCGCACGAACGATGGACACGACGCAGGGGAGAAAGCACACGTATATAACACTGTTTGTCGTTGTGAACAGCGCCCTATGTGTTTCTTCGCGCGGTATGCACGTCTGGTGGTGCTCGGACTTGCAATTTTATTCCGCCACGCAATTGGTTTTCGACTGGTTAAACACGGTGTCGGGCCAGAATATACATCAATGGTCACGACTATAAAACAGCGGTCTGGGACGCATTTGCAAAACCAGTTTTATTCCGACGCGACCGCTCACTTTCTGTCAGTTTTGCGAACTGCGCCGTCGAAATTACAACAATAAATCAAGCGATCGAAAGCACTCAAGCTTCCCTTCTGGCGACTACCACGATTCATTTTCCCTTTACCTTTACAGACAGTTTTCAAAACACGGAAAACGATTTTCGTTACTCGAACGCAAACGTTTTGTCATAACTATAAAACGGAAACTTGTAAGTCAAGTCAAGTCAAGTCAAGTTTATTAAATAGTTCAGTTGAGTTACAAGGCGGCAACTAACGCGCGAGTCGTCCTGTGATCGAGTTTGCATTCGTTCATTCGCACGCTTAGAACTCCGACAATATATCTTTTAAGCCCATAAAACTGGCACTCGGCTCGAAAAAGTTTTGATTTATTGTGTGCCCGCGCCCCTAACACAACAACCTGCTCTGAAATTCTGTGAACATTTTTCGACTTAAATCCCCTGCGAAATTACGAAGGAAGTGTTTTTCAGTCCTGCGCACGTTTTATTTCACGTCATAACATCGCTTTCAGCCCAATGTAAAGGACAGTAAAAAAAAAACAAAAAATGGGCATGAGAATTCAGCAGTCCATGCACAGCGCTTCGCGCTGTGCCCGAATCTTCTGAGAAAAGAAACTCCCCCTTCGTCCATTTTCGTCGTCACGTATAGTCGGCGGCAAATTACGTTCTTCCGTTTTTCTTCTTCTTTTCTGTTTCATCTTTCTAGCGACTGAGATCCACTGACTTGTTTACGGCTGGCAGTCTTCAGCGAGAAGAATAGAGAATACTGAAGGCATCTTACGCAGCTGCGCTCCCGTCTATTGTTTGTTTGTCGGCACGTCTAATCCGAGGGGCAAACATGTGCTGCTGCTGCTTCCCTGGGAACAGAAAAGGACTAGACATTCCGTCACTTCCTCTCTTCCGTTCTTGTAATATTTTCTTGTCTTATTACCTTCTGAATACCTGTCTTTCTCTCTGTCTCCCCTTCTTACCGTCGTTTTCTCCGTATTCGGTTTTTTTTTTTCACAGTCCTTCCCTATGTATTCTCCTCTTTCATTTTTTTTCTCTCTTTCTTTTCTTCCGTGTCTCCTTTTTTATGTGAATCATGTCGTACCAACCCGCCCAAGCAACCACGTTAGCTCCTTTTTTCCCTTATTTATTTCATTCTTTCCCTATTGCTCTAGTTCTTGCCTACTTTCCCTCTATTTCCTTCTTTCTCTCTTAGTTACCTTCGTCCATTCTGCGTATTTTTTTTCTTTCTTACTGTCTTTTTTTCGACTTTCTTTGTTCGTGTATTTTTCTCTTTCCTTTTGTCTATCATTGTCGCGTTCTTTTTTATCTCTTTATTTCTTTTCTTTTTCTCTGTCTTCCTTTCCTTCTCTTGCTTTTTTGTCTCCTTCAACCTTTTCTGTGCTTTCTTTTCTTGCAAGTTCTTCCTTTGTCTTTCTTCCTTTCTCTCTCTCTCTCGTCGTCGCTTTGTTTTCTTGCGCAGGGCCAACTGCGCAGCACTGGAATGACATTTAGTTACATGCGGCCCGTTCTGCACCGCATCGCCACGAGCCGTTTTTCGTGGAAACCCAACATTGTTAGTACGAAAACGGAAGCCACCGAGCAGCGGTGGAGTGACCTCAGCTTGATGCGCTAATCCGGAGCCACGCCGGAGCTGACAAACATAATCCTTTCCTGCGACAAGCCAGGAACACGTGGACAGCTTTAAGGCTTTGGTGAAATTCCGGCGACAACGTCCGGCACAGTCTCGTCATCGTGTCAAGAAATAAGCTTGTTTAAATTCATGAGAACGTTAATGGCTTCGCCTTAAGCGCCTTAAGGTTTTCGGCCAGTAGTGTGGCCACCGGTACTTCTCTGTGAGTGAGCTTGCTGAGACAGTTCCTGAAGTTCTAAGAATGCCACCCGTCGCTTTCCTTTATGTACACAATGCGTAGAGGATTATTAAACGATACGTGAGGCCAGAGCCAGCAAGTGTGTGAGCTTTCTATATTTAAGTAATAATACGAGGTTCTTAATTAGGTTGACATGATTAACACGGGGTGGTGACAAAAGATGACATATGGACGCTAGACGAGGAAATATTGGATTAGTGCACTTTATTAATAATTATAATTTTATTCCTAAATACAAGAGAACATGACGTCAGCTTTATCTTTAGAAGCTAGGCTGACTTCGTTTAGCATTACAGTGCGCTGGTATTGCATTCACTGCATAAACTTTGCGGTGCATCGGTGTTTTTTTTTTCGGTTCGTTTATTTTTTACTAACTTAAATAAAATGATATATTAAAAGATAAATCTGTAGTCTATTAGGGGGTACTCAGCATATTCGCGAGAAATATCTGTACAAGGAGACATCGTCTGTCAAACTTAGTCATTACGCACATAAAGCGAGTTTCTCCACAATAAACATAAGTTTGTAAAAAAACCAGCTTTGACGGCAGCTCAAAAACACGTAGAAGAAGCGACTTATATGTTTTGATACGTAGTTTGACGAGTTATTCGAGGATTTGGGCGAGTAACCCCGCCTAGGTGTCGGTCACGAGCCTTTGTGTTCTGGCGGCTGCCTCGGCCTGCTGGACGGCCCACAGGTGGTCCTTGATGGCATGGCTGAGCGGTGCAGTCTCCCTGCACGTTCGGTTCGAGGCTGCGTCCCCGTCTGTATAGCTCCACCTCTATCACACTTCTATAGCATATGTTCCAGGGTTGCCCTGGCATCACAAAATTTACATCTTGACGAATAGATCACTGGGTAACTGAGATTCAAGATCACTGAGCTCGGTGTCGCGGCGTGTGGTGGCCGAAGTTTGCACCTGGCCTGTCTAATTCTGTGTGACATTGCCGAGGCGATCCTCCCACTTCCCGCCCGGTGTCGTGACCTAGGTGGCGGTGGTATTGACGGTGGCGGCTCGGTCCGTGAGCCCTCGAGACGCCCCGTACGTCTTTTCATTGCCGGCGAGTGAGGTGGTGTGGACGGACGCCCGTAAGATGTAAGCGTCCCTATTTTCGGTTTTAACCGCAAGTAAAATTCGTCATGCCTCGGGGTTGACGCGGCCGTTGGTGCCACCGCAGCGGCGGCCACATCACAGCATGAGAAAGAAGCACATATGCTATGATGGTGGCAAAAAGCGCGTGCTTCGGCCGATACCAACTCGGTTACAACGTTGGAAAAATAGGGAGTTTTCGAATATGGGCCCGAATCGTTTTGGTATCCCAAAGAAATAGCGTTGAGACCACTGCGCATGCGTGATACCCAAAAAGGGTTCGGTCTTTCTGCTGAGGATGCTACTTTGAATTTAACGGAAGCCTCCAAGCCTGACCTCAAAAGCTTTGCGTCCAAACAAACATGATGGTACCCACTCATGTGATGGTCCTCGGCCAAGACCAGAATGACCTAGGAGTAGGTGTAGGGGGAGCGTCCACAGCACCACAGACCCCATTCAAAAAACTTTTAGCTACTGCTTGACCCAAAGTGAGCCCATGCAAAAGGCTCTGAGGCCTCAAACTTTGGGGCATGTACTTGAAAAACTCTCTAGCTAATGATCATCATCATCGCCTGACCACGTCCACTGCAGGACAAAGACCTCTCCCATGTTCCGCCAGTCAACTCGGTCCTGTGCTTGCTGGTGCCACGTTATGCCAGCAAACTTCCTAATCTCATCTGCCCACCTAACTTTCTGTCTCCCCTTTGTGCGTACGCCCTCTCTGGGAATTCCAGTCATACCTTAATGACCAGCAGGTATGCTGCCTACGTGCTACATGCCCGGCCCATGTCCATTTCTTCTTCTTGATTTCAACTATGATAACCTTCACCCCGGTTTGTTCCCTGATCCACTCCGCTCTCTTCTTGTCCTTTTAAGGTTACATCTATCATTTTCCTTTCCATCGCTCACTGCGTCAGTCCTAAATTTAAGCTGAAACCTGTTTGTAAGCCTCCAGTTTTCTGCTCCGTAGGTAAGTACTGGCAATATGCAGCTGTTATATACCTTCCTCTAGCTAATACCGTTGCCATATCACCAGTATACGCGTGTGCACGGGAAGGGGGGGGGGGAAGAGTAGCGAAGAGTGGGCACAAAGTAAGCCCCATACATTGACACGATAGGAAGGGGGTAGGTCGCTGCGAGGAACCTTCGCCCCCATGAAGGCGAACCCATGCGCCCACCCATGATCAACAGTAAAGCTGTATCGTGCGGCCTATGGATTTTATCATCCGTGTCAATTCCGGACGGTTTATCGGTGTAGTTCTCAATAACGTATGTCTAAAAATCTTAATTTGCCTTCTGCGAGCTCGTTTCTTCGTTGTTGGGGCGCTGCAGTGGCGAATAGCGGGGCTTACCCAATGTTCTGTTGCACATACACACTGAGAGTATTTGCGCAAGTAGGTCCGACGAATTTTAATTTCGTCTAGCCCTTGTCATTGTTGCGACCGGCCTTTGCAGGCACCAGCGATCGGGAATAAGATGCCGAGGCATCATGAAGAGACTAAATAAAAACTTCTTATGGAGGTTTAATTACAGTACTTACATGGCGAGCATTTTGTTACACGACGAACATCTTGTGATACAAGATACATCACGGCATATCTTGTCCCGAATGAGCCCGCAGGGGCTGGTTGTGAAGAGCCTCTTTTCCCCAGATCCATAGGTGGGGAAATGACTCCGATAGGCGCTGTACAATGACAGGACACACATCACTTTCGAGGGTGCAGCACACGCCCGTCCCGGTCAATGTCCTGGACTGTGGCGTGACCACCGTATTGTGCACTTGTGGAACCTTGGTGCTCCCCCGTTGACGTGGAGGCTGCTGGTTGGTGGGTCTCACGCTTAGACAGCCGGCTGCATCAAAAACGTTCACAGCCGTCAAGTACCTCACCGCTCAATTAGCGGGGCGGTTCTGCCATCTGTTCCGACGCCGCTGTCTCATCTCCAGGGAAGGATGTTCGTGACCGGAAGTCATTTCGGTCGTCTCGTGGAACACATATTGCGGCGTCGGACCTGCATGGCTGCTCACTTCCCGGCTAGGAAGGAAAATACATGGCTGTCAGCTGGTCAGAAACCCTCCTGATACTTGTTCGACGAGCAAGAGGACACCGTCTCCATTTAGTTGCAGTGTCAGTTCGTAGCACCACATAAAGTGCTGCAAAAACACAAGCTCCGCCCTTAGCAATGACTGCCTCACTTCGTCAGGCTTCGTGTCCTTCTTGTCTCTGTGTCGTCGTTTTGTTCCTCGCGCTATAACTATCGCCATGCCATACCAACTAGCCCGAGCTGCCACACTTCATGAATACGTCACTGTTTACCGGGGTTTCAAGCACTTTTTCTTGATGATAGTCAACTTTGCCGCAGAAGTATACTGTTTTCATTGCTGGTTTTTTCATCAAAGACTGGGAAGTCGGGGCATCGACGTCTGTCGAGGAAGCGGTGGTCTGTCGGGGGCACTGAGGACTAGTCGTGCACTGTTAAAACGTTGTCTCCATCGAGATCTCCTTCTTTTCCTATCTGCAACATGCCTTCTAATAAACTTGCTTTCTCCCTTTCTCTGTTCAACGATACTTCACCAGTTCAAGCCTTTACCTTTCCCTGAAATTTCAGGCTGCCGATATCATATCGGACAACAGACGAATGATAAATGTGCATGCGAGAATTCGTACGATAAGTATACAACGCCGATTATGATAATCGTTCTTTCCCTCTTACTTCCATATTTTTCACAGCCAGTTTATCCACCCTGAAATTAAGGTGGATAAAAATAGCAACCCTTATTAGCGCCCTGTCACACTGTCACCTCAACCGGCACGTAGGGTGCAGGAACCACGTACGCGGGCGTATTTGTACCTAAAATAGATTCCGGGGTGACTTAAAAGCGCGCCAGAAAAACACACGGTTAAAAATAAATGAAAAAAAAAACAGCTACGCACAGTAGTGCAAAGAGTGAACGAGGCTGATGCAACCTTTTACTCCTCGCCCTCACTTCCCTTACCCCATAACCTTGTTTTGCTATTCTTTACAAGTGAATGCTCATCCCTCGTCTACCGTCATCCTCATGTCACAACTCCTTAAATTTATTTCCCCTTCCCACATCCTTGCTACAGTATACACTAAGTCGACGCTATACATCACACTGTCCCCTCTTCCTCTCTCTTCTCCTCACGCTCACTCCAACTTCTGACACCCTTTCTAGAGTGGCTAGAATGGCACCCCCCCCTCCCCCTCTTCCTTTCCATCCTGTTCACTCTTACATCCTCAATCCTCCTCCGTCCCATCTTTGTTCCTGCACACCATTACAATGCATGCCGTGTGGTCAAGCAGTGTTAAAAACAAACACGCAAGCTTTACGATCGTAACGTTGGAACATTTTTAGCGCCTTACAACGTAAACAGAGCGATAACGTGTATCACGATTATGATCGACAAGGGTTTTGAAACTCTGAGACATGCGACGTACTGCACGTTTGGCGTGCGCATGACTTCGCCAGTATTAAAGCGAAAGTGATATAAACACTGAGACTACATTGGGTGGCCCGGTGCGCTTCGTTGAAATTACGCGAGATATTTATTTACGATGTGTCAGTGAAAATTCACCTGACGTCGAACCGACGTCGAAATAGTAGTCGCCGAATTCGAAACTAGGCCCTCTTTCTGCCGGCTTGTTCCGCACAAGTCTTCGAAAAATGGCTCCCGCGTGGCAAGAAGTGGACCACGCTCGAACAGAAAAACGATGCGAACTCGTGTTAAGCGGCGCGGAGGTCTCGAAGAGAATAGAAGAAGGACTCTTTCGACGTGTCCGTGTACACCCTTTTCCACCTCAACTTCTTGGAGGTAAGCCACACATGTCTGCCGGAGATTCCCGTCGGAATCGCTCGGCCTCGTCAACCTCACCCGGCTCGCGCTGAACGCGAACCAACTCTCCAAGTTGCCTTCCGACTTGGGCAAACTGCGCAAGCTCAAGTTCCTCGATGTCTCTAGCAACGTCCTCGAGGAGTTGCCGGTCGAGTTGTCCGACCTCGGAGAGCTGCAGAGCTTCAACGTGAGCAACAACCGCCTCACGACGTTCCCCGACGAGTTCTCGAAGCTGACGCGCCTTATCGTGTTCAACTTCTCGAGGAACAAGCTGGAGGAGTTCCTTCGTTCCTCGCCGGCGAGACCCGGTTCGAGCAGCTCACCGAGCTCGTAGCCAACAGCAACAACATAGAAACACTGCCGGGCAAACTGTCCAACACGCTACCGTCGCTCAAGTTGTTAGACCTCGCCGGCAACTCCGTGAAACAGGTTCCCGGAGAGATTGGAGACATAAGCAAGCTGAAGGAGCTGCTGCTCAAGGACAATCCGCTGAGTGACAAGCGTCTGAAGAAGCTAGTCGAGCAGTGTCACTACAAGCAAGTCCTGGAATACGTCAAAGGTCACGGACCCCGTGATTCGAAAGGTGCCGCGCAAGACAAGTCCGGTGCCTCCAAGAAGGGCAAGAAGAAAGGGGCCAGCGCTCCAGTCGACATCCAAGAGGTGCGTTGAATGTATTGTCATTTTTGATACAGCAACGCTTGCATATAAGCACGGGCATATTTTTTATAATGCCCATCTGGTCAGCGCTAATACATCTCAGTTTTTAATTTAGAGACTAATTGAGGAAGTATTGCTGTATCCTTAGTGTCGATGAGCACTCGCCACCATTCGGTGAAGTTTCGAGTGCCTGATAAGTTATGATACGTAGTTGTGCCAAAAGATATTGTTGCTCACTGCAGAGGAAGTGTTGTAGGCTCTCTAGAACTTGCAAGATGACGTCTAGATTGCACACAATGGTTTGATTGTCACAGGTATGTGTGTAGGGCGGAATTTTAAGTACGCCGATCAAAGTGATTCGGCATATATTCATCTAGTGGGGCTGGTGGTTCCCTGCGTGCATCGTAAGAATACTTTTTATATGCTCAAAGATGTGAGCCCTCTGACGATGTGTGAGGCTAGACAGAAAGGGAATACCATTTACACTAACATGCCTTATAATTAATGAAGAAATGTCAATGAACCTCAGCGTGAGGCCACTTAAAAAAGATAATGAATAAAAGAAGGAAGAACTAATACACATAGAGGAAAAAAAAAGCAATAGGGAAGTGGGTGCTCATTCGATGCTAAACTACCTTGCAAGGAAAGTGATAGGAAATTCACGATTCAGCTTAGCATTAACGCAATACACATGTGTATTCCACCTTCAACGCCTGGTTTTGTACACTAACCTAACCCATACCATGATAACTTCCTCATGTTTTGCTCACTGTTTTGTTTGCTGCTGTTTGCAGGTGCAGAATGCCTTTGAAGTGCTCAGTTGAGCTCGCAGAGCCCTGTGGTGATAGTCAGCGATGCCGTACAGGAGGTGAGGCCGTACATTGTTTGCTGCATCATCCGGAATGTGTATCTCGACCGGGACAATCGGCTTCGGAAGTTCTTAACACTGCAGGTGAGAACATTTAGCAAGCTCTCAAATTATGGTACATTCCATTCTAGTCAAATACAACTTTAGAAGGCAGCATCATGTTTACCTGAGAGCTGGGTGCACAAAAGACTACGTCAACGCTATGTGCGCTCCATATGGATGTCGTAAACTGGACATTCGGCAACACTGCTTCTGACTATTTCTAGTAGCAGGGCAGTCAGCTGCCATGCTCTGGTCACCTGTATAGGATTTCCCATGCAGTTGTATCCGACTGTAGTTTCTCCATAGTAAAACACAATTTGCACTGACCTGAAAGTTTATGGCACCAGCATTCGAAGAAAGCTTGCCTGAGCCATACTTTTCGCCAGCTCGCAGGGCAATCAGAAGAATCGGGTAATTGGGGTGATCTGTCCTGTCTTGGCCTTGCTCTTAGCTCAACGGAAAGAACACCTCTGTGTTCACTGAGCTGGCTCACTGCGCTACGATTAAATCCGACATATGCACTCTGAGCAGTTGGTTTGAAATGGCCAGCGGTATTGGGAACTACTCTATTTCAATCGATTATAAGTGCAAGTTATACCAGTATTAATGGCATGGATGAGTTCTCAGTGCAGATAACTTGTCAGACTCTTCACTCAGACAAGTGGAATATTGAGGATCCATTTCGTCAATGACTTGTTCAGAAACGACGCTGGAATCTCGCAATATTTTGTCATTATTTTCTTGTTCCTACAAAGACAGGCTCGCTGTTGTATCCGTTTTTTTTTTTTTTGCCTCATTTATGTTCTCTTACTTTCCAGAACAAATTGCACGACACAATTTGTGTGAAGCGATCCGAGGCTACAATAGCAACTCATGACCTAGCAAAAATAACTGGGAATGTCTACTATGATGCCATTGAGCCTGACAAACTTAAGGTGAGCCTTATTAGATGTTAACCTTGCTTTATATTTCTAATTTTGATTTCTCTTGACTTGAACTTGTTTAAAAACCATCTCGCCTATAGTGACAGGGTGCTTGAAGCTATTTAACAAACATCTATATGCAAGGATTTCAGTGCTTGTGCTCCCACCACCGAAGTTTTTAAAATGTTTGGGAAAATGGTATTGGCATGTGCTGAAGTTTTCTCTCATTGTGGTGTATGTTTGGGTGGTCATGGCTTTTGATGTGTGTGCTGGTTTTAAAGTCTCGCATGCGGTTACAGACTTCATTGCTAGAAAATTCTGTGCTCTGTATGTTGTCATACTGAACAGCTCGAAATGAAACATTTACAGTGGAAAGTGTCCATGTTGTGTGGATGTGGGACGTAGCGCAAGTAGTCTGTGTGGTTGCATGTCGATAAAGGTTATAGTATTACGCTGTGAATCGTATGCCTTCGCCTTTTAAGTGTCCCACTTTTTTTTTTCTACAATTAAGAAAGCACTTGGTTGAGACATTGTTCAATACTGTGGCAATCGTTCCATGTCACAGCTTACACCACTTGGAAGAAAACAGGAAGTGAGCGGGAAGGAGCTGTATCGTCAAATGACGGAAGAGGCAGATGCCATGCGCAAAGAGAAAAAGCGAAGCACTTACCCAGGAATTTACAAGTGAGTACATGGCACTGAATCTTTACCTCCTTCCAACCCTTTTTAAGAGGCAGCGCAACACTTTTAGGCTTGATCGGAAAACGCTGCCGATCAGTAGTTGAGGCTCCTGAGAACGCGCGAACCAAACATTGCTGCGCAGCACTCGGCCTGAAATTTTACGATTAGTTTTCAATGTTGGCTAGAAATCGTTTTCCCGTTTCTACAAATGACGGCATATACCAAAATGACAACACTATATGCCGAAATGGGTGGCCATTAGCCAGTTAGAGCATCGTGTGCGTCGTAAACGGTGGCCGCCACTTGCCCCTGCGCATGCTTGCAATCACACTGAAAGTGAAGCCACACATTTGAAGGGGAAAATAAAAATGCTCAAGCTCATGATGCGCCCGGGACGTGACTAAAGGTTGTGCAAGCTATATAATACATTGTTCACAATGTTTCTAGGTACCTGTATCTGCTCAAGGACAAGACCCTGTATCCTTTCTTGAGAGACGAGTCCAAGCTGGTCATTTCCTTTCCACCAATGACCAACAGTGACGGAACGAGGGTATGTGGACCTGTTTATTTCACTCTCTTGTTTGGAATAGTTTGCTTTGCCTTGGTTGTCCGTGGAGAATAAATACACCAGGCCCATGCAGAACACGCAACACAGTCATAGCATAATCAGGAGTGGTATTTCTGGAGCTCGTTGTGTACATTCAGGGTGACTACTGAAACTACAGTGGCAAGGTAGCTTCAAGGCCATGATCGTAATCATATTCAGTTTCAAGAACTGGTGGCTTAGGCTAATTGGTAGGTCATGATAAACTATGGTGCAAACTGTAAGTTGTTGCTTATCTCCATGCGTTACTTAGTTTCACATCCCAAGTACTGTAGCTCTTGTCAGACTCAGCGCCTTGTAAAACATCACCTAAAGCAGTGCCATTTGGCTGTTGCAACGTCAACAATGACACTAGGAGTTGCTGCATACTAGTCAGAAGAAAACATTCATGGGTGTGTTGTGCTGCAAGTGTAATTAGTGCTACAAGTGCGGCAAGTGTAATTAGTGGGGAGCATTTACATTATGTACATCTACAGTTCCACACTTACGATACGATTTCCAAAAGGTGGTTAAAATTCCTTCTGTCGATCCCAGTTTATATACCTAATGTTCTCGCTTATTATCTGCACAGAAATAATTTTTACATTTGAAGCCAAAGTCAAAACGAATAGTGCCGATTCCAGCCATTTAAGGTGTTTCACAATATTGCTTCGCAACTCGGCAAGAAAGCTAGTTTTGTGACAGTATGCGGGGATCCCCTTTTAAAAAATTTTCCACAAATTCCTGTTGGCGGTGCAGTTAAAGGCGAGAAAATATGGTACTTGGACATTACTAAACTGTAACCAGCTTAGCCAAAATCACATTATTTGCTGTTGGCTGTTGATTAGTGACCGTTGTACCTGCCTTGTCTGATGTTATCTCCAAACCAGATCTCAGAGGAGACGCGCAATGTGTTTGCGGAAGTGACTGGAAACAACCTTCCATTCTGCAAGAAGGTTATGGATGCCCTGTTAGCCGAGAGCCTCCAACTTGGTCTAGGCAACGAGGAGGCACTCTCGGAGGCAGGAAGCACTGGTGATGGTGGCGCCACCACACACAGGCTTCAAGTAGAGAAGGTCAAAGTGGTGGACAAGGATGGAAACCTACGTGTTGTGTACCCTTCCAAGACGGATCTTGTCTGTGCGGGTGTCGTTGTCGAGCAGCGATCTGAGTGAAGTCCATCACATTTTCCTTTTGTGTGTGTGGGTATTTTGTTGGGGCTTCTACTGACCGCCCATTCCAGAAAAAGGACTGGTACAACGTTCCTGGTGCATGACGGGCACACTGCTGTTGGAAATTAATTCAAGCGAAACGGAGGCTTAGAAAAGAAGAGTCTTGAAGTGATCTATGTAGCTCTGTAACAAGGAACATTTCCTAAGCTAGTGTTTTGACAAGGCAACTTTTCCAGCAAAGTTGCTTGCTCTAGCCACGTTAAATATTGCAATCCTTAAAGGGATGCTTGAGGAAAATGTTAAGCCCCGTCAGAATGACAGATCGTTAGTTTAGAAGTCTATTCGTTAACTTTTGTGTGCCAATAGTACATATACAACTTTGTTGCCTTAAAAATTGCTACCTAAGATCCTGCTGCTGCTCCTCATTTTGAATTGCCCATGCCAAAACTGGTCAAGTTCAGGTAATTCTCATGTGATCGCCTTTTTTGCTGTGCTCTGCTAGTCAGTGCTATGTCATGTGATAAATTACTATTGGGCCACCTATATAGGTGGAACCACTCGGATTTTTTCTTCAATTTCATTATCTTCTTAATCTGTCTACAAATGGTACATTCATTCATTATCTTCTTAGTCTTTCTACAAATGGTACATTCATTATTATAGAAGCAAAATCTTTCAATCTAGGTTGGCTTAGTATTTCTCTTAGTGTTCTTTTTAACAAGTTGATTGGCTCATCGAGGTCCGATGTGCATGCAGGAAAAGATCAACACCTGAGAATAAAGGTTGCAGTGTTTGTGTGCGATATTTGGGATGATATGCCGTACTATTGCTCGCTGGTCAATTTGGTGCTCTTCCCTGGTTGATTTGAATCCACTCTCTTTGCACCTGATTGTTCTCACTCGCCTTGCTGCCGAGGTGCGATTGGGGGTGGAAATAAGTCAAGAAGTTTACGTTCCCGACCTGTATAAAATTTGCATGAAACATTGTGGTCACTTTGGGACTGCATTGGTTTCCACAAGACAGTGCTCACTGGAAGCTAGGCACCAGCTTTGGTATGTGCGCTGCAGGCATGAATGACTCCCGTATGGCTCATCCACTGCAGCATTGTTACTATCCGATGGCAGGTTCAAATTGATGCAATCCAAGGGCTTACTTCGGGGCATTGAAAACAGCTCTAGATTTACCAGTCAAAAGCATCATTGACAGAGGGCGAGGACTGTTGCTGCCTTGAATACCAATGCAGTCAGACCTGGTCACGTGATACCTTGCAAAAGTGTGATCCTGAAAGTAATAATTCGATGAAACTAACAGACAAGTGGGTAGTTTCTCATCTGTATTTAAATTACCTGCCTGCCCATTTCCTATTCCCATAAACTTCCTGTGATAAAAACTCGAGACTTCCACAACAGTGTGGCTGTTAAGAATCACCTTCTGTGTCTGCTGGGAATAATAGGTTTTAGCAATGTTTTTCAAAGCTAACGCACAATTACCTGTTTTGAATGTGAAATGATTTGTATTGCACCAGGCAGCTAATCTATTGGTCTTGCTCCGACTGACTTTTTATTGGAGCACCTGCTGCCTTTTACTGAACCTTTGCAAACAGTTAACCTTAACTTATTGAAAGTTTTACAGTGCCAGACGTCTTTGTGCTTGCGAAGCTTTGTGCTTGCTGATGAAGAAATAAAAAACTGCATGTTGTCCTGCTTTTTGAAGTCGTTCATTGGCAGTATACTTGCGAGCTGCTGTTTACCCTGCTAAGTGGGCCAGAGGTGCAGATAGCTGCACTGCAACATTTTTCTTTATATACTCTTTTAGAATAGAAAAAAAATGGCAGCATATCCATGGAGTGAATGATGGAGAGTGGGGCGAAGCATTCGTCCGTCCATGCGTCCGTCTGTGTGACCGTCCATGCGTCTGTTCGTGCGCCCGTCCCTGCGTCTGTTCGTGCGCCCGTCCCTGCGTTTGTTCATGCATCCGCCCCTGCGTCCGTTCATGCGTCCATTTATGCATCTGTCTGTGTGTCCGTTTGTCGATCTATTCAACACTCCAAGTACCACCATCTCGCATCTTTTCATCATATATTCTCCATATAGAAGCACCGCCATCCAGCAGACATTTCAAGGACTAAACGGGAGGTGGCACACGCACACTTTCTTACGGCTTGCGCTTCGGGTCTACTTCCCACCTTCAACCACCTTGAGTTCATGGTATATACTAGTTCACTGTATTCATGACACTGCGGCCCAATGCTCGCTAAATCTTTCTAAAACCAAGGAGGTTGCGCCCAGCGAGTATAACATAGCAATCTTTAACTGTCAGATAGTGCTCAATGTACATGCCAGTGGCTGCTAATGTGAAATGAGAGACGAGAGGATTCAGCTTTTAATTTCTTACGGCTTGCACTTCGTATCTGCTTCTCCCTTTTAACCACCTCGAATTCATTCATGGTATATACTAGTTCATTGTATTCATGGCCCTGCGGCTCAATGCTCGCTAAACCTTTCTAAAACTAAGGAGGTTACACCCAGCGAGTATAATGTAGCAACCCTTTCTTGTCCGATAGTGCTCAATGTACATGCCAATGGCTGCTAATGGGGATCGCAGCGTGCGCGTTGACTAAACGCCGAATGCTCCTGTCTCTCATTCCCCATTAGCAGCCATTGGCATGTACATTGAGCACTATTTTTTATTGTTAAACAACGCACAGAAGAAATCTCTCACCGGCACCACCTTGGAGGTCAAATGTTATACCTATTTCGGGTATGTGCCACTGGTGGTTACGTACTACGAGGGACGCCCAAGCCACGCCATAAGGAGCTTCGCCCCTAAAAGTTTATTCAGATGGCAGTCGCGTACCACGCCTGAAAACCTAGATGCAAACTACATATGTGGGGGTAATGGCGGTGAAATTCCACACACTTCACCGAAAATGAGTGGTTGCGTTCATACCTTCCAACTCTCCCGAACTGTCTTGGGAGACTCCTGAATTTTGACCTAATCTCCCGATTGTACGAATTCCATCTCGAATCTGCCGTAAAGTGGTCGTCACAGCAGACGTGTTTTTTATCATGTGTAGTCTGCCTTTTTTACTGCGACAGTTGCGGTGCTGCGGAAGAGTGCTCGCCACTACACTTTTGTAGTTCATTGTAACCGTATCATAGAGTACTGCTAGGTATATTCTAGCACCGCGCATCTGGGTGCGCTTGCCACCATACGCAAAGGAGGCCAAGGAAAGGTACCACAAGTGTTGCGTCTCTCTGTCAGTCTTCGCCTTCGCATTTTATATGCTAGGCTTACGCCGCTGCCTAGACGTCAGTTTCGTTTATCATGGGTTCGTTACGTTCTTGAGGGGTGGGGGGGTGCGTATTTCCTAGTGTTCAGTTGGAAGGTTCGTGGCAGTGTCAAAAGCAAAAAAGGACTTGCAAGTGTTTTTGAACTGGTACACAGCTGCGTTCCCGTGATTAGTGGGTTCGCTGAAAACTGACACGTGCGGATTCTGTACCACGTGCTCCTGTGACTTAAGCGTTACGTATCAGAACTATGTTCGTGCTGTGGAAGGGTAGGGCAACATCGAAAGTTTCGTATAAGAGTTGCGAATAAATGTGATACGCGTAAAATGCCTATTCATGGGATTTCTTGTGGAACACGGTTTGCCGCTAAGTGTTAGAAATCATGCGGGATCATTTCTTTGGAAAATGTTCCCGAACGGCGAAGACGCGAAGCGGTGTGGACGTCGTACGAAAACAAACTGCCATCGTCGAGAAAATGCCTGCGGATGCCGAAAACGCAACGCGGAAGGCCCTGAAACGCAGCCTTTTCGCAATCACAGTGAATGGAAGCAACGAAGGCATGTCCCATATGTCTCAACCTTTGTAATTTCTGATATGTAACCCGCCCCATGCTTGCTGCGGTCTCCCGAATTTTTATGCTGATAGGTTGGCAGGTACGTGCATTTTTGGCGGGACCATACAAGTAACCACAATGGGCTGTGTCGTGAGGGTCTTAGAGGCTGCATAGTTATTGCTTTGTGTGTCAAGTAGCCACTGTATTCTCGTATTGGCGAATACAACAGCACTTGTGTCATGGTTGCCAGGTTTGGCTACTTTATGCTAATATGGTTACATTTTTTAGGCTGGTGGCACAAGAAAAAAAACCTCGACTACTTGGCCACATTCTGTTTTGTTCCTTCGATATAAGCCCAATTCTGAATATCTAGTATTGTTACAGCCCCTGCTGTTCAAGTGTAGGGTTTAAAAACATGACTGCAAAGACGTGTTTTCAGCTGCTAAATAAAAACAAGCTGGAAGGGGGGTTAAATATTTGGGGGGGGGGGTCAAACCTTTTTTTTTCCCTGGAATTTAAGTATGCATGTATAAATATACACGCACACACAGAAACACACACATAAGCATACACAAAATATAGTTAAACCCTCCCTCCGCCCCTACCTCCCACTCCAAAAAAATCTAGCCACACCCCTGTCCGATACTCTTGTTCGTGACTTCAAACCACAAATATAAGGGAACATGATGATTAAAAATGCTTTGCCCTCATCGACATTACAAATTGCATATCTGTCGAACTGCTTGTTTCATTCTCTTGGATTAGATACAGATTGCTATTCAGAATCACTGACTCCTCAAATAATTTCAATAATAATAATACCTAGAGTTTAGTGTGCCAAAGCCACTACACGATTATGAGACACACAGCAGCAGGAGGGCTCTAGAAATTCCATGTTGTGATTTCATTATTCTGTCAGAATCGATCGCGAAAGTGACCACTTTATACCTTCATCACAGCCACCATGATCTTGAGCACATTCATGTCATTTTTATTGTCGCCTCTGGTCATCGTCAGAAAATGACAAATAACGCATGTCAAGTCATTTCCCACTTCATCCTGCAGTAAAATGGTCAATGTCATAAATTGTATTATTTGCTTGCATCCCTACCGAAACGCTCTTATCATACAAATAAAATCGGCACTGTTTTCACAGACAGGCGGCTACTTTTGGCCCCATTTACTGCCTTTGGCTCAAATTGGCTGCTTTTTAGCTAGTTTTTTCAATTTTATGGCTATTTCTTGTATTTTGACATGGCAACCCTGACCTGTGAAGATGCTGCAGATGCAGAAAAGTGGGCGTTGATGCATGTGGTCATGCAAAACCATCCACGATAAATAAACAACCCTTGAAGAAACAGTAGGTGTTTTAAGAAATTCTAGAAGCATGCCTTTATCGATGCCTCATCTGCTGCCGAATGCTGCGTTAGAATGACAGACGAAGCATCAAATCAAATGAAATTTATTTTAACATTTATACAGTGTTGAGGATCATGAACAAAAAGCCAGCTAGGCTTGACGAGGTTCATGGCCCCAATTTTTCAGGCAGAAACAACAAATGAGAACAGCAGTTCAACACTGAAACAGAAATTATAAGCTGGTGACACAAGTCATAATATACATTATACAAACCTATAAATTTTACTTACCCTTATACATACTGAAAAGCTCAAAAGTAAGCAAAGCAAAATTTCATTCGAGTGACAATATAAAAGTTGACAGACAGAATACATAAAAAAGTGGAAACAGAGTCCACTTTTTGGACACTGCATTATGGCAGTGTCCAATATGTGGACACTGTCATAATGCAGTGAAACAGATGATGTCGATGTGCTGCACATGGCAGTTTTTGTTGCAATTCAGAATGGAGCTATGTAGGCACTGCATGCTTAACGGGTGAGTTGACGACCTTTGAAGGTTAAATCAATCCATCAGAAGAGTATCTGACACTGGTGTCATGCAAGAAATGATGAATTAGTGTACCTTTTATTCATCTCCCATGGGAATAGTGGGTTACTTTAAAAATTTGGTAGTTAGGCTTGTGGCTGCAGAATGTTAACGACTGTGTTTACTGTACTTTATCTGTCTTGACCTCTAGAAGTTCCCAATGAACAGGATTTATCTTTATGCTCTGGTAATTATCTGCACATTTTAATGACTACTGATTTATTGTGAAATATTTTGTTCAGTTTAGTGAGTCACAAATGCTATATAAAACGAGAACGACAAACTTTGGCAAATCCGTGAATTTAACAATTTTTCCATGCAGGCTATTCTAGTGACAGACGAAACAGCCAACACGGACTTGAAAGCTCACACCGACATTTAAATCACGTCTGCATGAGCCCAGAACATGTAAGATGGCTGTTTGTTCTCTTCTTCCAACGAGCTCACGAGCTTGCTGGCGTGGTGGCACAAACCTCGTCGTCTTGTAGGCTGAAGGCGAGCTGTTTCCATGGGCAATTTTGTCCTTTTTAGATTCTCAACCTTTTATGAATTTTGACATGTGCAACAAGTCCCTCTCACAATTTTGGTAAGAGACTCCCAGCCTTCACACATGGCCACTTTCCATGGCCAATGAATGCTTCTGGTCATTTCTAGTTAGCCAATACCACACGGTTCTAGCAGATCAAGACTTAAAGCTTTGGCCCGTACTCTTGACTGGCTTTGCTGGCCACTGTTGAGGTTCCAACATACAGAGCCACACATTTACATATTGGCTAGCATAAATATTTATTTCCTAGTTCTAAAATGGAAAGTAGTTATGGTAGTACAGTAAAAAAGCAAATCTATACACTTGTTTAGATGACAACCTGTTCTACCTTTATTTTGCATTTGGGTGTGATAGTTTCAGCTCGAAAAAAATTGGCTGCTTATCTGCATGCTTCGCTGCAAATATCGTTGAAAGACTATAGTCTTCAGTCTGTTCTACTACATGTGCCCTGATCTCATCTGCGTGCTGTGGTGCTGCATGAGATATAGACGCCATCTAGCAGTGGTGTCAGAAAGCACGAGCTTGTGCACAACCCAGAATCACTGCCAGGTGGCAGCACTGGCAGAGGGCTTTTTCGTGCATAGCGTCGCATTTTCAGCGCAGCCCAAGAAACGCCGGGGCTTTTAGAATTACGGACCTACGCATTTTCTAGTAAAGGAACACACACATAATACTTACGTATTGATGTGTTGCCTCAGATACAAGTGATACTTGCTTTTTGATCGACAAAGTTTGCAAGTATGAATGCAGCCACCAGTTCGAGATGGCTGGGCGTTTAGTAAGTGCTTAAACTTTTGCCGAGTGGCTAAATTGTGTGACAGACCAAAATTTCTGCATTGAAGTATCCCACAAAAGTAGGGTCATCGTTAAAATATGAGCCTATCTTGAAGCCAACGCTGTCCACCACTCTGCCTTGATTGATCATGTTGGCCAGTGTTGGCTAACTATAGTTAAAGAATAATTTTTCTTGGCAGGGTGTCTTGAAGGACTAGTTGGTACAGGACACTGAGGGGAACAGGGCAAAAATGGGACATCGGCAACTGAATCATTACATTGAGTTGCTAATGAATTTTTTATTTTTTTAAGGCTGACAATCATTAAATAGGCTGTGCATGCAATGTCATAAGTGCTCACACGGTGCACATGTATTTGTGGATTGCTATGGTGAAGAACAACATACAAATAGAGGAAAGCTGCAAAAATGTAGTTTATTGTCTTTTCACAGTGGCGACAGTCGCAACACAGCAGAGCTCATGCACATTTTCCTTCTCTCCCCATTGTTAACTCTGAAAGCAACACTTTATGCAAGCGTGCTTGACAGCCACTGTGCAGGAGGAGCCTTCAAAGAGCGCATGTACCAAAGGCATGCGCAGATACTGTGGGCACACAACTCACTTCGTTACGTCTACTGGCTTCAGAAGAGTAAATTGGTACGAGAATGTCGTGGCAGTTTTAAAAAGTTGCAGTGCTTCAATTTCTGAGCCAGGACAAACAGTTTTTGTTTAAATATACTATTGCCCGCCATAGTTAACATGCGAGACCTTCACTATCTTGACCATTGTTCAATATGCCACAAGACATTTCATGCTCACAAGTTTTCTGGTCAGAACTTTGTGCCAGTAAACTAGGCTGTGACCACCAAACAATAGTTCATCACTGTCCAGATAGGCATTCCGATACAAACACTGCAACAGTCGAGTAGCATGCTTTTTTTTTATTTAATGACTGCGTTCATTACGGCTTCATCCAATTTTGCTCTCTTTTGCTCCTAATATCTGCACATCCCAAGCAGATAAAATTTAAGTGCTGTTATCAAAAGTACATTAAGTTGGGAAGAATTGTGCGTTACACTGAAACTACATTCAATAAAAAATATTTGCCAACTTCACCGAACATCCACTCTTTGCCGGCTGACAAAAACACCACATCATATGCACTATACAAGTGGGCTTCAAAATGCTGTTCAAGCAGTGTGCGCTGATGTAATGAGAGCACGCTCATCATGCTACACCATCTAACAAGGTGCTGTAAGGCCGAGTCTGAGAATAGAGTGCACTCTTGCTCAGTTAGGTACTAACGCTCGAACATAATCGCTTCATCATAGGGCATAAATTCAAGTAGCTGGCCATACGTCTGCATTTACTTACGTGAAGTAATGTTGCTTATGCTAATAAGTCTTTCCTTCAATAGCCATCACTTCGAAGAATGGTTTGTGCAATGCAAACATGCCTTGAGGACAATATATCAACTAAGGATGCTGCATTGATAAGGGAGCTCAGTATTATCATTAGCCCTTCTTGTTGAAGTCATGACAGTTACATTTGAATTTCATTGAGCAGTTACACGTAAGCGTGTTTTGCTCACTATTTTGCTTGGATGCAGTGCTCGCCGGCTTCAAGAAGCATATATTAGTGGCAATTTGAAACCTTGAAGAAAAAAAAAATTTTTTTCTCAGTCTAGAGAATAGGGAAACAAACTTTTGCCCAAAGAGAATTCCCTGTGTGACCAGTCAACTCTGAGACTTGTCCTTTGAACTTTTGGGCTATATAAGTCCACCTCCCCCCAACCTTTTTTTTTTGCTGTTTTGTGCTTGTAATTCTAAAGCCGTAGAAGACTGGTAAATACTGCATCCAAGCATGGCACCGTACAAAAAACCGCTACAATGTTAAACATATGCAAAATATGAATAAGGTCAAACTCACTATTTTGCGAGAACAGCTTATTGTACCAGACCACACCACTCAATGACACAAAATACAGTACATGTATGCTTGGGGTTCATGTACTCAAGCAAGAAACTAAATCAAGCCATTGCCTCAATGGTACACAACTAGCAGTCCACAAACACAGTGTTCCACATAAATGCAAGGCATTTCCAGGTGTCTACAAGTCACTCACTACTACTTCGCAGTGTACAGGAATACTCAACCTAGCAAAACTGAGAAGGTACTTTTTTTTTTCTTCTTTTTTTTGCCTATGGCACGAAGGCACCGCAACTGTAGGAGAAATAAACCTGAGCACTTCCTTTACAGTGTAACAAACTAAATTATCACAAATTCTTTCTCATAGATTTCCTTCGCAGATTCAAATAGAGCATAAATTAGCAGACTAGCAGCACATGAATCCAGGAACTAAGTGATTTGGCAATGCACAAGCTTCACCATAGACAGTCGTAGCGTTGCACTAACAAAATGAGCCAAGCTTTTTGCATAAAGCTGATATTATTTTAACGATGACTAACAGTGGATAACGCAACCATATTTTTACACTGAAATGAATGATTTCAGATTGCTCTGTTAGACTAGCCAAGGAAATAAAAGCTTCGAGATACATTTTACTGCTGTACATTAAACTTCTATGTGCCATTATCAAAACGTGCCTTTAATTTGCTGACCACAGCCTCCAATCATCAACACCACGTTTTTGCAAAGCTTAGTTGTAATACTGCCAAATTTGCCACATTTCAAGTGCGAAATTTTCAGAATCAAACAATGGTTGAATTATATTCATAGCACTGTTTCATGTATATAATGAGTAGCTTCAAAAAAAAACAAACCTCAAAAAACACTGTCATTCTTGTGTAGCTTATTCTCTCCAGAAAAGTTCAGCTTGGACTGAGGGCCATTCAAAAGCATAAAGCTGGCCTGTGTGCTGCACACTGCATTTCTCTGAAAAGGTCTGCTTCAGCATTGGAACCAACTTTTACCATCATGTCAAGACCACTCCGTAAACTTCTACCCCTATGTGTAGAAGAAACGCTTTAGCCTGCCACCATGTTGAACACTCTTAACTCTTTCCACAATTACGCAGTTTAAATGTGCACAACCAGTCCATGGTTTCTTGGATACTTTTGCCAACACAACAGGTCAAACGGCAAAAGTTCTTGAACATTTCGAGACCACTTGAAATGGAAAGCTCGCACGCTAGGGCATGCTACCATTGTGGAAGGTGCTTTTCACACTGCCATAGTAAAGAGCTGTTAGCTATAACATTACTATAGATTGTGGCTTATATATTTTTTTAACTCAATAAAAACGCACTGTGTTCCACTATCCAAGCGAGTGGCAGTTTGACAATTTCATCCGATCAGTGAGAATTGTGAGAAGTTTGAATTCGCCTACTCTGTAAAGCTAAAAAACAGTGTCCAAATACTCCACTTCTACAGGGCAGTGGCAACGCTAGTGATAGAGACATTCAATTGTGATTACCAAAGCACCATACAATAATGAAACTCACAAATGTTGAGATGAACAAAAGCTTTTCCCTTTTACTTGGCACAAGTGAGACTCATTCGCGACCGAGACATGGACTAATGACTGGAACACGACTGGCAGTGAATGAGTGGGACAGTTTCTTGAATGTCTGCGACCTTAGCTCTGCTGTAATGCTCATTACTTGTTCTATCATTGCTTGCTCTAAAGCGAATGAACATTAACTCTATTGCTTTGAGCTCAGATTTCAGATAATAAGTGGTACACAATGCTACTCATAATGTTTCACCATGTCCATTACATTGCTACGCACCATTTGACTATGACGTAGATCACCTAACATAGTTGTTAGAGCGAACGGCTTACTTCAACCAGACTTATCTCTAAAATCTAAATTACAGTAGCTCGGGATTACACTAGGTATGAGGCCAGTTTTGTGTACTACAGCATAAATCCGTCCACCATTTCCAGCATTTTGAACTCCGACATCTTGTATGACATGGTCAAAATTTACCAGATACTTTAAACTATCTGTGCTGTTGCAGTATTTAAAGTGCCCACACAAGCATTCATTCTCACTTTCAAAAAAGCACAAAGGAAAAATGCTGTCACCGTCACACAGCTGCACTTACTTGACGTGTTCATGGCATTTATAATGTTAGTGCAATGAAGATTACAGTATGCACTCTTGTTTTAGCATCTTTTTCAACTTGTGTACAAGTAAGCAGGCGCAGCTGGATTACTTCTGTTTTCGAATGCAATGAATGGAGGCCCATTTTCACTGACAATAAACTAGCCGTTATCAACTTCAATCAAAAGGAGACATTAAGAAAAGTTACATCAAAGTTACTTCACTTACCACGGCTAAGGTCAAAGCCGCAGTAGCCCACCCACCCTTTCATAATTATTTCCTGGCTACATTATAGTTTGCTAAACCACTGCTCAGTGATTAACCAACTTTACATTTTTGAAGTGCAACCTACAGTTCTAACCAACAGTAATATATTTCGTTACCTTTTCTATGATACTTTGACAACAGCGCAAACACAAGCAGCAAATTCAGTACACAGGCACAAAAGACACTGTCCATTGTCGTTCCAAGCAGACCCTATGGTGCCAATGTTTTTTATCCGCACTAGACATGTATCAGACTTCGCAAAAAGTGTTCTTGGCAATCTATTTCAAGTTGTTTACAGTGCTTTTATTATATCGCCTGCAATCGCTAGCAAAGAGTAACTCCCAGAAATACTGAACACAAACAAGGTACAAACTCTTTGAAAGAAAAAGCAACAAAAATAAGTTGTGTAAATAGGCATTTTCTCTTAAATGACGTCACTAGGAACAAAGTGAAGGTACAGACGCAAAAAAACAACAGCTGTGACAGCATTCATAAAAAAAAAATAAATACAATGCCATATGCAGTTGAACACAAGAGATGTTTCTAAAGTTGTTGCACAAAAAAATTACTCAAGAGTTTTGGCTGGCTGTAAAACGAGTACAACACTCGAAGAATGTGTGTAAAAACAGCACAGGAAGCCATCTATGGACAGCCTAAAATGTCATAAAACGACTGCTTTTCGCACAGTCCACAGTTTCAGTGACACCAAAATGCAGAACACAATGAAAAGCTGATCGCTCGACTGTACACCAAAGAGCGACAGCAACGCGAGATTTCTAAAATGAGAAAACATTTGAGAAACAGGTACAAATAAAAACACGCGTATCTACAAGTATATTGGTCTCAAAGTGATGTTGCAAAGATATTGTTCAATGCTTTATCCTGTTGTGACAAATGTTCGAACTGCCTAAAAAGAAAAACTCATTGCCAATATAAGCCAACACAATGCTCTCGTTAGCTATAAGAAATGACTGCATATTGTGCTATACTCGGAGTATTGCATTTGGTTACATAAGTATTCTTTCAACAAGAAAAAAAAAGAACATGGACATAGGCAAACTTGCTCGCATATTACGTACTCGCAGTTTCTTGGGTTCAAGCGCAAGCTCCGGGGCGGGAAATATTTTCACATAGTGGAATTACAGACACCTACCTTAAAGACGCAGCTTGTCTGTCACTAGCTGACCCAGGTAATGCTAACTTGACCCTAGCTAGTGCGATATTTAAAATGCCTGTGTCGCAACGACTGTGCGCTTTCGACGAACGAACTCACAATCACTTGTGATTGCAATTAGCATCAAGGTCTCTGCAACAACCTCGCATCATTATTTTTTTAAAGGAGGATCTTTGTTCTAACGATTGCATATGTTTGGTAGACGACACGACACATTCACGAAAGAGACGTCTAGCGCTACTAGAAAGTGCGTTGCTGCAGCACATTGTGTCCATTTTAGTTTGTTACTTTTGCACATGAGCACATACTAGTGCTGAGGATTATAGTCAGATTGCAGATGAGCCAATGCGACATATCTCGGTGACAACGCCACGTATGCTAAGCACCGAGTATCATCAGCGTCGCACAAAGCGCCAAGAGCTAAACACGACACTTTCTTGAGAAACTTGCAGGTTGCACGAAAAGGAGATTGTGCAAAACTTGTACGAACAGCTCGCGGTCATTCTCTATTAAGCGCGCACAACTGCACAAATAGAACGAAGTTTTAAAACAAAGAAAAGCTGTTAATGCCCTGAAATAGTAAAGCCAGTGAAAACGCCACTTTCTTTAAAAAAGAAATCAACAGTGCCAGTAAAACCCAACAAAGCTTACAAATAGAGTAAAAAAACACGAAACGCTTGTCTCCGATGCGGATCCACATCTGTTTGAGGACAGAAACGTGCCTGTGATGCAACCACGCACGTGATTGGGCAATGATTTCTTCCAATCAAAAAGTTTGGAGGCACTAGACGGCTTTTTTGTTGCTGGTACACTGCGTCAGCGGGCACCCTGCCTACAGAGAGCACTACAGGTCCAGTCTTTTTTTTTTTTTTTCTTGTTTTCACTATAGTTTCTGTTCACTGTTAAAAATAGCCATGTATATTATGCGCACCAAGCCTCTTTTCCCCTGCCGTGGCTCCCCCTTGATTTATAGTAAGCTGACTACGACGGGAACCTGACTAGCCGGGTCGCCATCAAAACAGGGGGCGGTGGGGGATGGCAAAGCTAATGAAGCGACACTGCAAGCACACGTGTGCACACACGCACATACACACATGCACACACACACTGCGACAGATGATGCTACACCAGGAGGTCCCCCAAGTTTTCCGCTGTTCCTTCCTTGCCTCTTTTCATGACCCAAGAGGTTATTTTGCCATTCCAGGTATTTTCGACATCATCTGCAGAAAAAAGAAATGTGGGTCGCAAAAAAAAAAACTACAGAAAATCTGCAAAGCTGAACTTGATGTCAAATCTTTGGCAACATTTTCTAGTTCATTATTACTCCCAGTGAGCCTTGATAAAAAGTTAGTCGGAACCTGCAGTAACGAAATTGTGAAACAATGAAATTCTCGTAACAAAATATTTTCCTCATCCCGCTGAATGGCCTTGCAATTCAATGCATATCTCATCTCCCGGCAATAAAATGTTGCTGAATTTATTCTTTAACTTGCATCAGAGTCTGCGCACAGGGGTACTTTCGTACTTTGCCTAGATCAGAACGCAGCCACCATGGCCGGGAATGGAACTCACGCAACACTTTATTAACTAAGGTTCGATGGGGAGTGAACAGAACCTTCACAAAAGAATCAATGGTGCACTATACCCAAGTAATGTTTCTGAGAAAACATGGCCAACTCTTGTCGTATGGGTGCTATAGCCCTCAGTGACAGACCAATCAACAGCTTTTACACAGCTCACATCAAAACCAGGTAAAGTAGACCAAAAGCGGAAGTATAAGAGAGCAGAATTCTCCCCAGAAATTTTTTTCACGCAGATATTTTAAAAATTGGGGGTGGGATAGGGGGCAAGACATTCAATCTAAAGATTCCAGGATTCCAAGTTTTAAAACTTCCTGTGCTTGAGACACATTCACATTTTATTTCTGGTCGTGCATTTCTGGCATTTATGATGCACACAGAAAAATGTAGCAAAGGTGTTTGCATTCTAGCGCTGGCACTGGGTAGGATTTGGGAATTTTTGAAACCACAAGGTCACCTGCTCAGTGTGCTTTCTACATAACCACACGGCGAGAGGCACGTTTCGCTGGCTTTACATGCACAGCTACCGTTTATTGACTCCTCAAAGGGGTCGTTAAGAGTGGTTGGCGGTAAACTAGAGTGGAGGGTATCATTTCTACCACCGCCACTCTGGTGGGGAAAACCTTGAAAGGGGACTTTGCAAGGGCCATAACTACCGTAATTACTCGAATCTAACGCGCACCTTTTTTTCCGGTTAAGCGAGTTCATAAATCGCATGCGCGTTAGAATCGAGTACGAACAAAAAAAATACAATCAATCTACTGCCATCGGCAAATCCGAAATGGCCGCCCCCTACGTGCGTCGGCATGGCGCGTCGGCCATTTCTGCCTATGTGTTTCCCATGTGCGGCACTTCGTACGTGTGCTGAGGAGCCCGTCATCTAGTAGTGCATTAGCATCGACGGCGTGGAAGGGCCGACTCCAAAAACTCGAGTGCACCACGATGCCGCTTTTAAAAGAAAAGCCATCGCGTGTGCGGAAACGGACGGAAATCGGGCCGCATCGCGGTCGTTCGGAGTTCCCGAAACGTGCGTGCGGGACCGGCGAAAACAAAAGCAGAAGAATGTCGACAGCAAAGCTCACGCAAAGGCTTCAGTGGACCACAGCAGGGTCGGTTTCCGCAAATTAAAGAGCTGCTCGGCGAGTATGTGCTTGAGCAGCGAGCGGCACAGCGGCCCGTGACGATAGAACTGCTCCAAGTGCGGGCTATGCAATTAGTCTTAGAAAAAGGTCTAATGTGGAGCCAGTTTAAAGCGAGCAGGTGCTGGCTAACTAACTTTATGAAGAGGAAACGCTTTTCCCTCCGAAGGGGAACATGCATATGCGAAAAGTTTTGCGGAGGAGTACGATGAAAAGCTTCACAGTTTTCAGAGGTTCGTCCTAAACTTGCGGCGCCACAACGGCTACCTGCTTGGGCAAATCGGGAATGCCAATCAGACGCCTCTTTACTTCGACATGCCTGGCACCACAACCGTCGAGAAGAAGGGGGCGAAGCAAGTTCGCGTGCTGACATTGGTCCACGGTAAAACTACAGTGACGGCAATGCTCTGTTACACGTCAGATGGGCACAAGCTTCGCCCGTACCTCATATTTAAATGGAAGACGCTCCCGAAAGGAGTCGTTTTTTCGAGTGGTGTGATCGTGCGGGCCAGCGAGAAAAATGGGTGCGCGTTGCAATCGATGTCTTACGTTTTTTTTTTTTTTTTCACGGTGGAAATCGGGTGCGCGTTACAATCGAGGGCGCGGTAGAATCGAGTAAATACGGTAATTAATAGACACGTTGAGCATGCCCAACAGGCTTGATGTTCTTAAGGATGCACATTTGGAGGTCTCATACTACGAGTATGCGAGTCCCTGTTTGGAAGAGCACACCCAAGCAGCAGTACTGCGATGCTCACCTTGGCAAGGTCTACACCCGTAAGAGCTTGGACGGTGGGAGGTATCTGGCTGACCAGCTTGGTCACCTCGGCAGTTGTGCGGTCTTCCCCACTGATCATCACAATCTCGTCGGTCTTTGCCAGAGGTGCTGAAACTTCTGCTGCGATCTGCAAGAGCACAAAGGAATGTACGACCGATTAAACCCGTTGAAAGAGCTATACAGACAAGTCTACCAAAAAACGTTTCACCAAATGGCTCGTACAACTAATACTTCGTGGCCCACTAGACAAGCCAATGCAAAGAGCAATGGCCTACACACCAATTTCTACTATGAGGCAACTGAGGAAGTTTTTAATGTAGCAACAACCTGCTCCAATGCTGGTGCTCAGTACAAAACCATGCTATAGGTCTTTTCCTTTCATCATCATCAGCCTGACTACGTCCACTGCAGGACAAAGGTCTTTCCCATGTTCCGCCAGTTAACCCGGTCCTGTGCTTGCTGCTGCCAATTTATACCCACACACTTATTAATCTCATCTGCCCACCTAACCTTCTGTCTCCCCCTAACTCGCTTGCCTTCTCTGGGAATCCAGTTAGTTACCCTTAACAACCAGCGGTTATCCTGCCTACGCGCTAAATTCCCGGCCCATGTCTATTTTCTCTTCTTGATTTCAACTATGATATCTTTAACCCCCATTTGTTCCCTAGTCCATTCTGCTCTCTTCTTGTCTCTTAAGGTTACACCTACCATTTTTCTTTCCATTGCTCACTGCGTCGTCCTCAATTTAAGTTGAACCCTCTTTGTATGTCTCCAGGTTTCTGCTCCGTAGCTAAGTACCGGCAAGATACAGCTGTTATTTACCTTCCTTTTGAGGGATAGTGGCAATCTACCTGTCACAATTTGAGAGTGATTGCCAAATGTGCTCCACCCCATTCTTATTCTTCTAGTTACTTCAATGTCGTGGTTCAGCTCCACGGTTATTGCCTGCCCTAAGTAGACATAGTCTTTTACAACTTGAAGTGCACTATTACCTATCTCGAAGCGCCGCTCTTTTCTGAGGTTGTTGTACATTACTTTCGTTTTCTGCAGAGAAATTTTAGGACCCACCTTTCTGCTCTCCTTGTCTAACTCCGTAATCATGAGTTGCAGTTCGTCCCCTGAGTTACTCAGCAATGCAATGTCATCGGCAAAGCGCAGGTTACTAAGGTACTCTCCATTAACTTTTATCCCTAACTGTTCCCATTCTAGGTTTCTGAAAACCTCCTGTAAGCACGCGGTAAATAGCGTTGGGGAGATTGTGTCCCCCTGCCTTACACTACCTTTTCCTACTACCTGTCAATTATTTTCTAAACATGCCAAGGAATCAAGCACCAATGCTACATTTTGGATTTCATGCCTGAAAAAGAAATTTTTCATAATGCATAAAGATTTCGAAAAGCTTGGGAAAACAGTCATGATGCCATGGAAGTTATTGTGAAAAGAATACTTGCGGGTTCAGAAGAGAACCCGCAAGTATTTGCGGGTTCTCTTCTGTCCCTTTGCCACTTATAACAAAAGTTCTGCGTATAACTCACCCAGACAGACATTCCCAATAAAGATAATTTCAAACAGATTTTAAACGATCATTAACACAAATAAACTATTTAGAAAACTATACTCTGAATGTTTATTGGTCAGTACATGTAAGGCTACGCAGACAAAGCACACTGCGTTCGGTAAGCGAATGCATCCAAGTGGTGCATTGTGCACTGAAGTGAAGCTAGACAGCATTGAACAACCAGGGCATAACCCCGGTCTATTACATAACCCCAATGTCTATTACAACTTGACACAGCAGTGCACCCAAGAACATGGCTCACCTTTGGTAAAGTGTCCAGCACAAGACTGAGTATTGCAGCATCTCCAAACTGCTTGTAGGCGGCAGCCTTCATACGCATCCGCTCAGCGTCAGCCTTTCCCACAGCTTCGATGGCATACCCTTCCGCCGCACCGATCATTTTGATACGCTCCGCCTCGGCCCGAGCCACGTCCACTGTCTGCGTTCTGCAGTTAAGAAATTCAGCGGCATTCAATATGATTGGGAAGTGCTTAACGGTACAATGTGCTACTCCAATGGTTTCTTAATGTATACACAGAAAGTGCGATTCACTTTCTTTGTGCAAATCTGCAATAAAAGCGCTACACAGAGAGCTGGACTAGGAATTTGAAGGTAGCAGCTTTGGGCCCTACGGGCTATCGTTTCGTCCACTTTTCTTTGTATTTCAATTAGCTATATCTTCCTTGGCATCCTTGTCTGTTAGTTCTCGTTAATGTTGTGTCAAACAAAAAAAGTGAGTCCTTGAATCTACACTTCAGACATGTCTAGAAAAGATGCGAGGAGAACAGATCAATGTATAAACTGTCAACTGTTATGTGTGCGTCTCTTCTCGCCATGTCCAGCACTTCCTGCAGCTTTGCACACAAGTAAAGTTGATCATGTTTAACCAACTAACCCATTGTAAGGTTTTTCTTTGGTTCACAGCTATTTTTCCATTCAATTGCCACCCTCATCAGTGTGGCTGTAGTGGCCGGAAACCAAATCCACTGCCTTATTCTCTAAAGCAGAAGGTCATAGCTGCTGAACCAGAAGCATGGCTGTATGAGAATGTACTGAACAGTGATGAACTTTAATCAAGTGAAGGTTCTGGTGAAAGAAAAGTGTGAGGAGCACAAGTGAACAGTTGAGAGCCACATCATCATGATGACAGCAAGTGATCGCTACAAGTTAATAACAAAATTCAAAAGCCAGTTTTGTCTCAATTAGAAAGGCTGTATTTTACAGCCAGTGGCTACTTGCCAGTCGTTCTGGTGACATCAGTGCCAATGATTTCAGATGACCACTTTGGCTAAAACTAGCATTTCAGTCTCATCCTCGTGAAAGAATGCACTAGAACAAGAATGCAATTAATCAATTAAATTAAATTTGAAGAAAAAAAAATGTCAAGGTTTCAATGCTGTGGCTGTTGCAGAGAATTTTTTCAGATGACGATGAACAGTCACTTGTTGCGATAACAGTCCTCTGAATGCCATTGAGGCAGTTTTTGTGCAGACATCACTAATGGTCACACGAAATTCATTTGTGTAGACGTACCGCTGATAACCACGCTAATCTTCCAAGACTACCGCTCGGCAGAAAACTACACTGCTCTGTTATGTTGTTCAGTGCACATACCCCACAAGGCATTGGCGGTCTTACTGGCGTTGTAACTGTGCACTGCTCACAAACTACTGAGACTGCCCTCTAAAGACTTCGCAAAGAGCATAGTAACATCAAGAGCCGTACCTCTTTCCTTGGGCAACCATTTCTACACGGTACGCTTCCGCCTCAGCAGGCAACCGTACAGTGGCTGTGAGCTCCTTTTCCCGACGCAATATCTCTTTCTCCTCGATGGCTATCTGTTTGCGTCGCTCCACAACGTCGATCTCAATTTCCTCGTTACGGATCTTCTGTTTCACCTTGGCAGCCTCTAGCTCGTATGCTAGCTGTGCTTCTGCTTTCTACAATGTGGACCCAGAAGAAAAGAGAGAGAGAGAAAGAAAGCACTGCTTAAAACATGCTTTAAAACAATAGCTGACACTGAAGGACAGAAGTACTGCAAAGCGTCACAAGGCTTTTAAAAAGTGCTTAATGGGCCTGTAGGATTCGCAATTCCGGATTGTCCAAAGTCCTGTATGAGTTCACAAAGTGGGCTGTCCATTTCAATGTTAGGTGACAGAATAGATATCTGAGCCGGTGGTCATGATCGGTGTCTGTCCAGTGGCTGATGCCAATAGGAGCATGCCAAGGTGGACAGCCAGCACAGCAGACTCAAGGAATACTATCTCAGTACTGCCACAAACTTTGCAAGCGATGCCACTTATAGGCGCCTGTTACAAATATGGTAACATACCGTACCTTTCTGGGCCATCAGGTTCTGTTAAAAGAGATATATATTTAACGTTTGGACCGTGTTATGCCATACCTTTTGAGTGGCACATCAACACGTACAGTTGGTGTTCTTCAAACGAAGACCGGAATAGCAGGGAACAAAACAGTCAGCCCCAGCTTACCCGAGCATTGACTTCAGCGTCGAAGTTGGCCTTCTGCAGTTGGTACATCCGGTTGGAGTCCTCAATTTTGGTGTTGGCCCCATACTTGACATCCATGGCAGACTTCTCACATTCTGCCTCCTGCAAAAGACAAAGGGAAATAAAAAAAAGAGAGAAAGATTGAGGGAACATTACTGTTATCAGCATTACGAGAATCATAAGTAAAAACGCTCATATACAATAGAGAGAAGCTAGTAAGGATAAAGCGAGATGGCAACTGGAACCGAGAAGGGCATTACACAGGCCAGTTCTTCGAGCATATCCAACTTTTTGTAGGTTCGCAGAATTGTCTGCACTTCATCAAAGAGCTATCTCTCCACTTTTTGTTGGTCTATTGTCATGAAGCACAAAAGTCGGAACAGGATCAAGTGGTACCACGAGGCTATTGTGGAAGAGTGAGGTTTGGTTACGCATACAGTCGAGCCTCCCGTACGGACTCTTCTGTCTCACCATAAACAGCAGACATCGCAAGCCTCCTTTTCTTTTCACTGTTAGACACACTGTGTGTGTGTGTGTGTATTATATATATATATACATATATATATACGAATCCAGGTATAACGAAATATCAGTTATAATCTTGCAATAGACACAGTGTTGGAAATATACCTTTATAAACAATTTTTCAGATATAACAAACTTACTTTCGTGTAACATGCAACTTTGCTATAATGAAGTTTGAGTGTATACTTCCTATAAAAGTGAACTAATGGGATATTCCTATGCAGAACGAAGAGCAACAACTCAGCAGGAAAACACCCCCCGGCCTTTGCAACTTTCCTCTCGTACACCGTTTTTTGGTAATTCCCATTATGCACTGATGCAGACATGAAAACCACACCACACAACCTATAGCGACAAAAGCACTAAGGCGGCACACTAATGGGGCCACAGCACATGGTATGTGGCTCAAGCGTTACCACAATATGGACGTTATCGGATAAAAAAGGCAGATACGGTTGCGGGACCATCTGGAACGATTTAGTATGCAACAGTGTCCCTTATGAAAGCACTTGTCGTTTAAGAATGCATACTGCATAACACACAACCAAGCGAATGTTACTTCTAGCAACACTAGTTCCCATGCCTCAGGATCCCACAGAGGAACAAGGAATGCAAGATGACGCACCCGAATGCCAGCATCTCTCTCGGCCTGGGCCACGCCGATGTCGGCGTCCCGCTTAACGGCCGCAGTGCGGGCGCGTCCCAGCGAGGTGAGGTACTCGACCCGGTCGAAGACATCTTTTATGGTGAAGCTGAGAATCTCGATGCCCATGCGGCCAATGTCCGGTGCGGCGACCTCCCGAACAAGCGAGGCAAACTGGTCCCTGTCCCGGTACACCTCTTCCACCGTGAGTGTGCCTGCACATCACACATTAGAAGGACATGACAAACACTTACCGAATGAGAGAATGCATATATAGAGGGCTCGAAGTAGTTCAAGTGTTAATCACTGGAAACATTGGGAAAATGTTCACTAATGTGGACTTTGCTCAAGTGAAGCCTGCATATGGGCCTTTTGTACGAGGAAGGAGGAAGTGGCAGAAAACGAAAAATTCATCACCATTGTCATCATTATCAGCAAAAACCTATTTAATGTCTGCAGCACAGAGACCCTTCGCAGAAATCCCCAATATTTTTGCCTTACACCAGTTGACAATATTTCATGCTTACAAACTTCCTAATTAAACATCATATTCTTAGTATTAATTTGTTCTCTGTAGTATTATTTCTTGTACAGTATTAATAAGGAGGTCCTGAATATTTTAATCCTCAGTATTATCAGAAAGATCAATTGGCAACATAAAGGCAAAGTACTACTCAAACTACTGATAAAAAGCACAATGAAAAGGAATGTGAACATACTAGTAGTAGCCATATTTTGTAGCCGCACTGTACGTTCATGCTCTGTAGTAACGGCAACAGTGTGGATAGAGGACACGCACCTAAAATAGCACGTAGGTGTCCTTCGAGTGTCTGCAGGATAACTCCCTTGATGTGGTCAACATCCTTGCCGAGAAACTGCTCAGCGGCTGTTGAGAGGAACTCTTTCTCCGTCATCACCTTACACTGCGCCACTCCCGTGACAGTCAGTGGCACACCTTGCGACGTCTCCACATGTTCACAACGGGGTGTCAGTGTCATCACTTCTAGCGTCAACCTTAAGAACAAAACAAGTAACACTAAATTCAGAATCATATAGTCAAATGGATTTATATTACCGTATTTACATGATTGTAAGTCGACTCAAATGTAGGTCAACCCCCAAAAATGGCACAGTGTAAAAAAAAAGTGAAAAGGGGGAGGGGGCATGAGCACATTTTATTTTAAAAAATTTTTTTGACACATCGCTAGGAGACGGAAAGTCTCTCCTGCCAAGGTAAAAGTGCTGGGTAATTTCATTATTGAGCGCAGGCTTTGACTCTCAGGCTACTGCAGACGAGTTCGTATCCCAGCCCAGCTTTATTGCATAAAATTTCTACCGACATTCATCTTAATAGCTATCGTAGGCAATGCAACAAATTCGCTAGCCTAGACCACATGCTCTGGCGTTGCCTCTCGTTGCGGGGCACTAACCAATCCAATGAAAAAAAGTGATTATCCGCTATCAAGAGCCCCGAGGTCGGGGATTAACTATGGGCTTCCGAGAGCACCCACGATGCCGCGGTCGGCCTTAGCCGGACTGTTCCAATGTGCAAACAGTCCGCTGTGCGTTAAGTCGTGCACCTCAGGTCTTCAAATAAAGTTTCGCACCCATCCATCCATTGACGCATTGTAAAGCCATTGATGTGGGTAGGTGACTTCATGGCAGTACTTGAAAGCTGTGCAAAAAAGCTAGCTTTGCGGAAATACACAGAGATCATTTTCAGAAAGACCTTCCCAATCGAAACTCGTTTTCGATTCTAGGTCGACCCCCCCAACCTTGAATTGTCAAACTTGAAAAAAAATGGGTAGACCTACAATCGTGTTAATAATAAGTAAGAGCGTCTGCTTAAAGGACCCTTAGACAACCTTTGAAGACAAAGTACGAAAAATCAGTGTGTTGTCCTCCGCCTACGTTTCCAGTCTTTCCAACGTAATTCGCGACACCAGTAGTGTGTCACGAATTTCCTCGCGACACCATGATGCCACGAGGAAATAAGCTCTCAGTCGATCCTTTGCTCCATGCCCATTTTGCCTCGTCTCTTGCCATGCCTATTTTGCTTGAGCTCTTGAGTTATTGAGGGCCCTTTAACATGCCCAGAATGTTACATTCACCTGTTATTTAAAAAAAAAAGTAATAAAAAAGGCAGCACTGCATCTGAAATAATAGCAACAACTTTATTTCATTACCTTCTATTTAAGGGCGGTGCAACCAGAATCCTAATGAAAAATCTTTGAAATATCGCATTTGCATAGCTAAAGTTTCATAAACTGCTTGCCTAGTGTTGTACTTCTTTTGCATTTATTTTTATATCTTTCAGAGTTTTCTCGTGCATCCAGCAGTTCATAAACCCCAACTTTGGGCACTCAATACCTATAACTGCCTGATGTTTTCCAGCAGTCCATGCAGTGATTCAGATTACAACACTGCTTCAATAAAAGCCGAGGAGGTACTGCCCCGCCGTGGTGGTCTAGTAGCTAATGTACTTGGCTGGTGACTCGCAGGTCACGGTATCGAATTCCAGCTGCGTTTTCGATAGAAGCAAAAATACTGTAAGCCCGTGTGCTCAGATTTGGGTGCACATTAAAAAATGCCACGTGATTGAAATCTTTGGAGCCCTCCACTACAGCGTCTCTCATAATCATATGGTGGTTCTGAGATGTCAGGCCCCACATATAAATCAATCAACCAATGTGAGGCTACTGTTACCCCCGTTAGGTCGTTTGTGCCTCATAGTGTACATGTGTCTGGCAAATAGGCCGCATTTAGGTTTAACAGCCACCATGTGGCAGGTGCTTGCACTGGTTCACCATCATTATGGTTAGTGTGGTAGCGCCAGCAGCGCCGCGAATGGTGAGGCTAGGTGGCCGCACAGAAAACACAGGGGAGTCTCTGATAATGGGGCGGCGATTGCGATGGACATCCGCAGGTGGTGTCCTGTGGATTCCTCGTGGTTAGTCGAACGTCAGTTACGCCATTTGCGGTACCTTGTGTTTGTTATGCTGTTTGAGTATTGCATTGAAACACTGGATAAGATTGTTTTAGCATGTCACTAGTGATGTGTTTGATTCCGCCGGCAATATCGTTGTATCCAAGTGAATAAATGGACAAGTGTTTGGTTTGCGCGACTGCATCAACTGTGTCAGTGTTCTCCGAGAGAGACGAGCTTTCAAGACCCCTTTAGACCAGGATGCATGTCATAGTATACCCACCTTTGTACATCTGTTACCAGCCACCACGCCCATGCCCAGCCACCTACAACCATCTTTTTGCCAGCATTCCCACAGCATCCACCTAAAAGAAACCAGTGCAAATGTAGAATGAGCATACCCTTGTTGGACATATCATTCGATCAAAAGTGATGACAGGTAAAGCTCTAGTAGCACACGAAAATTGATAAATTCAAGAACCAAACAGTTCCCTAAATACAAGAGTGATACACTTCATACTCTGTTTCATGCACAGCAGGCAATGCTGCAGAATTACACCAACAGTGCATTTGTAGTATTTTTACTGCACACACAATGCAATGTAGTTTCTGACCGCATCGCACATTACTAAAGCAGGGATGAAAGTTGATGTGAATTTCTGTATTATGCACATAGGTCTTCACGTGAAGCAGGTGACATGGGCTACGCCATTGCCATAAGCACAATGGCCGCTGTTGGCAGAAATCCGTCACTCCACTTTTTCTGTGGCTAAAATGCGCAGATTTTCAATGGATGTCGTAATACTGTAGTGAATAATTTTTCATGACACATCGGACAGAAAAGCACTTGGCCTAAACAATGAAAAATCATCGTTGTACTGCTGTTTTGGGAGTTAGCCACCTCACTCAAGCAATGGTAGGCACAAACTGTACATATTTGGCTTGATGGTACATCGTACTAGAGGCCTACGGTACAGCACACCGAAAGCGTTCAGCAGTTGGAATGCTCGGCAGCACAATTGCCTTTTGTAGTTACCCTGGAGAATGCCTTACGTTTAGTGCAGTGCTGACAAGCATACTTCGTTTCCTCTCTAGAGCTCTGCATCTGTATTCATAAACTAAAGGCAATCAGATAAGCTACTCTATGCAGAGCTCGCCACCCAGGAATGTTTTTGCGTACATTCATTTGGAGTGTTCTCCAATGATTTTGTCAACAGGCTGGCTGCACACCATAGATTCCTTCTGTCATGATATAGGCTGTAACAGAACAGTTTCCTAAGGTACGGCGCAACAGTTACCGGGAGAAAAAAAAAAGGAGCATACATGTTACGAAGTGGACACAACATAACCTGCAATGCGTGTCCTCTCTAACATCTTTTGTCCCATTAACTGTAGCACTGTATCTTTCTTCATTGTGCAAAACCAACCAGCCCAATACCTCACATGCTGACGGTTTTTTAAGCACCCGATTTTCTTCCTTTATTGCCAAAGCATGCTTTAATTTTAACAGGACATCTCACAGGAGGGGCACCTGTGTTGCGGCATATATGAGATATTCGTTTCACAATTCTGAATTTGAGAGTTCACAAGCAACGGCTGTTCTAATTCAAGACATAAAACAAAAGTGCTTACACGTTACAAAAGAAGTAGAAATGTCAAGTTTTTTTTCTACTAATTGGTCCCTTTCTTGTTGCTTTCAAGAAGGCAGATCTGACAGCAAGATGAATGTAGCCATTGTCTCAGTTAGGCATAATGCCAATTCTCAACCTTCCAAAAAGCACTAGAACGAAGCAGTGCAAGGAGAACCACACAATATGAGAAGCTTAACAAAATTTTGCTGCTGGGCTGGTTGGTTCATAGCCCTAAATACTAGTTAGTGCAGAATGACACTGGCCAAAACAAAGAAAACTAATTAACAGGTCATGTGCCGAAGAAAACCTTCCGGGGCAGTGTGCCTTCACCTACTAATGCAGCTGTGTATTTACACAGAGACGTTTTAGTTAATAAATCTTGGTTGCGAGTAGCACTCGACCTGTCCGTGACTGTTCATACATTATCCAGTATTTAGGAAGCCGAGCCACTATATGCATTTTTCTGCTTGCTAACAATGCAGGTCTGAGAAACCCTCTTTCGCTTACATCCCTTAATTTTGCGCAGGCGAGATATAAATGCATTCAAAGCAAAAACTAACAACAAAGCTCAAACTAAATAGCCGGCCTTATTCCGAAGGAACAGATCTTGGTGCCATACTTTTAATCCTCGCTGTGGTTATGCTATAGTTCACCCTCTCGCCCCCTCCTTGCCCTAAAATCCATCCTCCCCACCCTTCCCTCTCTTTCCAATCCCCTTATGCCATACTATAGCCACTCAAACTTTATGACAACGCCTCACGGTCTAACCTCGAGCTTAAACGGCATCACTGCTAAAAAAACTTCCGTTATATAGCTCATGCAATGTCTGCCGTTTTTTTTATTATGAATGTTTGTCTTCGGTACACACGCGCTAAACGTTACTGAAAAAGTGGTTCTTAAAACTGCGCCCAGGCCGCAGAGCGCTTTCGATCCATCGCGACGTTGCCGTCGAATTGCGCTAGTGCATGTGCGACAGGAAAAAAAAAAAAGAAAAACATCACTGCGTCCACGTGCCATGGTCCGACCGCTCGACTCCGCCTTGATAGCCTCTGGCATGTTTTTCACACGCGAGCGCGACCTTCATCGACTTTGTGATTATTTTGGGGGGGCATTTGTGCAGTCGCCTCGCATACCAAGAACGAAAACAAACGCAACAGTTCGTCGCGCAGGATTCGAGCGGGGCGTGACTATCCAGGTCAACGCGCATTTGAGCAATTAAGATGATTTTTTTTTTTTACGATCGTATAACTTCGCGACGAGGTCCTCGTACGATCTAGCTGTTTCTCAGCGTTTCGCGAGATCACGTGCGTGAGCGAAGGCATGCACACTTCACTACACTTAGTTTGTACAACGACTGTCGTCCGATATATCATTCATAGGCAAAATAAAAGCATCGATACGGTTCACACAAACAAGCTTTTGCTGAATTGCCTGAACAGCTAGCACTTTCGTCGGAAGGACTTTTGGTACGCATGTTTTCGCGCTACCGCGAGTTTCCTCTCCCTTTGCATGCAGCTGGGCGCGACAACGTATAGGTAAACAGGCTGCGCGACAAGACTGCCGGTTGCAGCGTCCGAGCGCTTTGCCGGCTGCGCGCGCGCCTACTTGGCGCCGGTCCTTGGTGGCGGTCAGCGCTCCGATGAAGCACGCTTTCGAAACAGCGCCGTCTCGACGAGTGAAGAAGAAAAACAATCGACAGAACGGAGCAACAAAAAAGGAAGCGGCGAAAGCGAAATGGTGTTTATTTTACGAGTAGGCCTAGGCTGTTTTCGTGCGTGGATGCGGTCCCCTCGTAGCATCGGAGGCAAGGAGAACGAGCGGGCAGCAAGCAACGCGGGTTGAGCTGAGCCGGCACTTGGAGAAGAAAAAAAAAAATATGAAAAATTAAGCGCACTCACCGGACACTATGAGGGCCTCGTTGGGGCCAACAGTCTGTATGTTGCCCATGTTTTTATCCTTCGAACTAAATCCCACGTAAGCCGCGTGCGGACAGCAGAGATCGTATTGCAGAGAAGGGACAAAAGACGCCGCCACTCAGTGGAGCAAGCGCGCTTTGGCGAGTCCCACCATGGAGTGCAAATCCGGCGTCGAAATGCGCCGCTTGTAGAACGTGTCGATTGGGCACTCGTTCGTTTGCGCGTCCGACGCGGCGAGATGGGCGTTCCTGCAGGTATTTCCCGAAGACGATAGCGGTGGTTGCAAGTGCCACAGGACAAATCCCCACACCTCATGCAGCGAGAGAGCGCGCGGGCGGGTGAGGGGTGCGCGCGCTTATTACGTGCGTGCGGCGTACGTTAGCAACGGTTGTTAGGCAAGCATCATCCTAAGTTTACATTGTCGTAGTCACCTTAAAACAATTTTAATTCACTCTAATTGATTCGATGTCTTAATTGTTCGGGTTTATTTTAAGAAAAGTTAACTGGTGGTAAAACATGGTGACAAAATCCGAAACTGCGTGCTTAGTAGGAGCTTGCCGAAACTGGTCACGTGTCATTTTTTTCAGACTTCAGTCCCTTGTTGCGTGGTGCGTCCCAGGCAGGCGCCAAGGTGGTGCGGCGATGGTCTTGAATTGACATTTGTGACTTTCTTTTCTTCTCTTTCACCCCGCAAGCTGACTTCAAGCACACTGTAAACGAAATGGCAAGTATTTTACATTCTTTGACGCGCCCGTTTCGCTTACAGTTAGCCGGGTGTGTTCGTAGCTGGAATGGGGCAGCTATGCCAGCGCAGTAGTGTGCCTGTCAACTGTGCCCTGCCAAGCTCTGTTGTAGCGCAGCGGGATACCCTTTTCACGTTTTCTCGCGTGCCTAGACTTTCATTCACTAAAGCTACGATGTTTCTTATCTGCCGGAGGATAATCGACTCGGTAATGATCGAGTACTGAAGCGGCAGTGGTGTAGTGTTATGCTCTTCCGGCTGCCGTAACACCTGATGACTCGCATTCTGCATTGCGCCGGCCTCGGAATCCCTTGGGCGGCTTTAATTGCGTTTCGTTTTCCCGCGTCGTCTCAGGATGGAGGCATGGGAGACTGCAGCGATCTCGATCGCCAGATCGAGCAGCTGCGAAGGTGCGAAATCATCAAGGAGGCCGAAGTCAAGTCACTCTGCGCAAAAGCCCGGGAAATTCTTGTCGAAGAGAGCAACGTTCAGAGGGTGGACTCTCCGGTCACCGTGAGTTTCATTTCAAGTTTGTGACGATACCGAAACTATGCAGTGCACCATTTCTATCTCTTGTACGCCTCGTTTCTGTAGAAAGCGGCATAAATGCCGCGATTTTCTTTTTGTCGGTGCCAACTAACCTCGCTTGCGCATTGTTTAATGGCATCTTCGTCTAGTGAAGTTATCTAGTGATAGTCTGTAGCGCTAATTCCGATCTGATGCAGTGCTAAATTTTCCGTAAAAGCAATGCTCATTTAGTTGTACAGCTCCTGCTGTGTGTCCATAACCTGCGCTAAATGTAACTCCACTACACTGAACCCCGTGGAAGTGCGTAACGCGGGCAATCCAGCCATTCCGTTGGAAATTTCGCGCTTGCCACCTCGACAATTGCGTGCTTGCTGGTGTGGTGGCGCCCTTCCTTGCGCGGAGCGGGCATCAGCCGGATGTTTCTGAAGCATTATTTGCGGCTTTAGGTGAATTAGTGCGATGAATTCTTAGTTATTTCTGTGGATCACAGTATATTAGGCCTTTTTGGTGTATTTTCACCGGTTTTGAGCGCTATTACCTTTTTTTAAGGCCTGTATTGATTAGTGCGTGATTACGCGGTATGAGATAATGGACAGACGACAAGTCGGGCCCCTAAATCTTACTTCAAACGTTTTGGGTGAGTCGAGTTTCACCTGCTGCCGTTACGTTGTATTGAGAATACAGAAAAGTACAGCATCGGATCAACATTGGTGTGCTACATTACGACGACTCGTGACATATTCTGACATATTGTTTAAGTGTTTTTAATTATGACTCAACAATTTTCTGCCTATTCATTCTACTGGAGCATCAATTTTATGTCTGTGAGCCATCGACAATATTTTGTAACAGAAGAACAATGCAGTCTTATATTTAGACCTTCGTTTTGCAAAGACATTCTTGTGATTTAACCTTTTGTGCCTTAGCAGCAAGTATTCAGATGTCATGAATACAAAAGGCTGTCTCCGTATGATCCTTTCACGTTGCCAGTGTGACACGTGAATTTTATATGTTTTACCACAGTCTGCATTTTTTGAATGGCTACATTGTGCCCCACAGTGGTGGTCTAGTGGCCAAGGTACTCATCTCCTCACCGGATCGAATCCCAGCTGCGGCGGCTGCATTTTCGATGGAGGCAAAAATGCAGCCGCTGCAGCTGGTGATCCTGGGGTGCTCAGATTTGGGTGCAGGTTAAAGAACCACAGATGGTCGAAATTTCCGGAGCCCTCCACTACGGCATCTCTCATAATCATATGGTGGTTTTGGGACGTTAAACCCCACATATCATCATCTTGAATGAATACATTGAAAGGTGTGTGCTATTGTTCCTGTTGACTTTGACTCCGTAGCCCATCCTTCTGCAATGTACCCTAGTTGAAGATGTTATCTTTGCAGTATGTGTTGATTTGTCAGTCATTTACTGTAAAAACTGCATTCCACTATTCACCTAATACAGATGCTCATGTGCCGTTTATGTTAGCAGGTTCTAGGACAAATATTGCTCAGAAATAAATCGTATTTATAGATAGGTGTGTGCATGGTAACCCAGAGATATTAAAAAATAAAAGTGGGCTGGCACAATTCATATTGAAGGTGTCTGTTTGATTCTTTACTGATGCACCGTTCTTATCACTAAGGCAAGTAAATAAGTATTCATAACTTTTCACTCAGTCATAAGGGCTCATTTATAGAAAGATGCTTTGGAATCTATTAAGGTCATGATGAGGTGCTAGCACTCAGGCTTTAGCTGGTAGTTTGAGTAGCATATTTAACACCCATTTCACTCTAATAATCAACCTCTTGCTACAACAATAATGAGAATGGAAGGTCACACAATTATCAATCTAATCCGATTATTCTCTTTTGCATTAGTGTCCCATTGGATAGAGCCAGCCACTGCGGGCCACTTTCAAGTTTTCATTGTAGGGTGTTTTTTTTTTTCTCTAGCATTTTAGTGTAATTTTTATCTTGCACTAGTGGCACTCAGACACAGTAAACCAAATTTTTTCATCCATTTTGAATGAACTCTGCCATTTGCGAGGATAAAGTGTCTGGCAAGAACAGAAACGTGCACACTTTTAAGATAGGCCCCACAAATATGTTATGATTGTTCGGAGGTCTGTGGTAGATAACACAATTATTTAGCCCCTGCACATTGATTATTACATGGAGAGACAGATGTACATGCACTCTCGAAGTATGGCAAATAGCCCAGAAGAAGATATATACCCAGTATCAACGCAACTTTTGTTATGAGGTGTGAAGTATACAGCAGAGGTGGATTCTCTAGGTGTTTTTCCTTTTTAAGCTATACAAACTTTTAAAAAATTCTGTGACAGTCACACTCCCGTCATTTTTGCATATGTACTGTTTGCGGGAATACGTTGCCCAAACTAAAATGACATTTATGAAACTAACAGAAACTCGTAAAGTTTTAATTATTTACTTGAGGGCACTTCTTTATGTTGGAGAGTTGTACTAGGTACATGCCAATTTATGTCATGGCCATATTTGGAAGTCGCAAAAGTTGCATGTATTGCGAGATGATGGTCAAATTTTAAGGGTGAAATAGGAACTGATTGCGTGTAGTGTGCGGTTAAAGAGGTCTTCATGTTACGTAAGACCGGAACTACACATGACAGGGAAGTGATGGAATTCGAATGAAGGTGCACCGAAGCAGATTGTGCTCAGGAAAATTGACAAGCATACTGGAATACACAAATAGACAGGTCATTGGCCTGGTGTGCGACCGGTGGGGGCACTGCGAACCACGCTTGTATGACATCTGTTCGGGGATTCGTGCGCTTTTGAGGTGCGGCGCCATATAGAAACCACCATCATGGTCAAACTTGACAAAGAAGCAGTTCAATTGGTTATCTTGTGTGTGTGGTGGCTACCGACACTGTTCTAAGAACTGTGGGTGTCCGCTTTAATACTCGTTTTAAAAGCTCAGCACTTTGTTTCTTAATACTGCGGCCACTTGTCTCCGTGCCGTGGCGAGTGCTACGCAATGATGAAGTACTGCTCTATGCCTCTATATGATCACCCACCCATGAAAAAGGCGCTAGCTTTCACAACCTTCCTAAGAACCCGAAGCTGAAGAAGTGGGTAGTCAAACTTAGAAAGGGAAAATTTTCACGCCTTCATTGACCATGTGCAGCAAGCACTTCACTGACAGTGACTTTTGCTATACTCACCCTACGCGCCACTCTTCGGTAACTTGCAACCACGTTTTAAGGCCTCACCAGTACTTCAGCCATTCATTGCACACAGGCTACAAGCATAGGGGACTCGCACGAGGTGAGGTGCCATCCCAAAACCTACCATCGCGAAGGCCCCGAATCGCCTCTTGAGCGCAGCTGAGCAACGCAGGACACCTGAGACTACAGCTTTATTTGGTTGGTGTTCGTACATATATATGTAGTTTACTGATCAAGCCAAGCGCGCGCGCCTAGTGTACTGCTTATCATAAATTCATAAGTTAAACCTCGTCTCATTTTTTAGTGCACATTCACTAAAGGTTGTCACATAAGGCAGTGCCGACACCTTAAGTGGAGCTCCGTAAGTTTTTCTTTATGCTACATGCGGGATCCCAAAATCACTCAGCTTGCCTTTGCCACGTTAATCTTTGTGGCCCTGTGAGTGCATATATAATCAGCGATGGTCCTCTGTGGTATTAATATGGACTACTTCGTGTTGTCGCTCTCACTGAACAATCATTACTGAGACATACCGCAACATTTGCATTGGTCAGGGGGTCCAATAGGGCGGAACTTCCTCCTCCCCAAGTCACACCAGCACCTACCCCTCAAGACTTACTGCGATAGAACAAGGGCTTGCGCCTTGCCTACACCCATAGCTGCATCCTGAGCACAATCATCTCAAATTTGGTAATTTGATGCTCCTTTACATTTCTAGTAGATGCCACGAACGGTCGATTGACTGCTGAAGCAGCACTTAAAACTGCTGCTCTGCAGTAATTACCTTGTGTTGTTTGCAAATGTCAGAGTGGTAGAAATAAGTGATTCTCACACATATTCTCTTGTTCTCGATCACTATCGTTGAACTGCAAAAAAAATATCCTAAGAAGAAGGGCAGGCGTGGCCTTCTCTTTGAGATTGTTGTGAAAGCTAACGTTCTTTTCATGAGAGGACGAAGCACACTGAGGCACAGAGCAGTAGTTCAGGATTGTGCAGCACTCGATCATCATGGGGACGTTGTGTGGCGGGTTAGCAAGTTCACGTGTGTGGGGGTGCTGACACCCCCCCCCCTGTAAAGTTGTCTGCGCCGCGTGGCGCACGTGTCTCGCCCCAGGGCGTTATTTCGGTGGTGACCACCACCGGGCGATAGATGGCGTTGTGTTCGCTTTGAGTACCACTGTTGGTAGAGTGGTAGCGCCGGTGGTGGCCCCTGGCGGAAGGCGGGCCTTGGTGGTGGGCGAGCGTTGAGCGAGTCTCTTCTGCGCGTGGCGGCTGCCGCGAACGGTTGTCTGTAGCGCGGGTCCCCGGTGCTCGGCACCGCGGGCTTCGCGCCGGGGTCCCGCGTGGAAAGTCAGGCGTTGGCGACGCCGTCTTGGGTATGTGCTAGTGTGTTGAGTGTGTTAGTGTGTGTTTATCATGTTATTGTCTGTTTAGTGTGTCACTGGGTTATGTTGTTTGTACGGTAGCGTGTTAGTTGAAATTGGTGTATCATTCGGCGGACGATATCGTCGTCTAAATTAGTTAATAAATGTATGTATGTTGTGTGCTTTGTACCGACCGTGTCCACTGTGTCCGTTCACTCCAAGAGCGTGGCGTGTCGAGGCGCTCGTTCGCCTCGCCGGGACCCCACACTGGCTGCCCAACGTGGAGCTCTTGGAGTATCGGACGACAGTTTTTGCGGTTCAGTACAGGGATTTTGTTAGAGCCGGAGTAGAGTAGGCCTAGGGGGGACTTCTTTGCTAGCGTCGGTGGTGTGCTTTGTTGAGAAGCGAGTTGATTGGTTTT